TTGGTCGGGTACGGATTTCTAACCACTGCCCAGTACATTGCCGATCTCTTCTTTGCTGTCGCAGATGTGCCAGGGGTCAAAAATGCCAGTTTTCCGGCTATGTTGTGCTACTCCGACCCAGACTACTGGTTGGGGGCGCTAGCTTTTGAGTCTTATCAAAAGGGCCCCTTGGGACGAGCAGCAGGGCTGCCTGTCGTCTTGGGCTTCCCTGAGACGGACAATCGCATTACAGACCTACAGGTCAATGTGCCTCCTGCAGCTATGGTGGCCTTCCTCGCTGGCCGTGCATACCAGCTGCCCACGTGCCCTGCAACCAAATACGTGGTGGACCCCCAAGGACTTCCCCAAGTCCACGGACAAATATCGCAGGAGGCCTTGCAGGCCTGGGCGGAGGCTGCCAGGCACACGAATCTGGAAACTGCCAGGTTAGCACAGCAACCTGGCGTTAATGCGTTTGTACGGATTTCGCTTCAAGGCTCGCAAACACTGGGACACCGCCAATGTCAAGAATTTAGGCCAGGTATACCACCTGTTCACTTTCTTGATGCCATTCGGCAGGCCCTGGCGGCCTCTGTTGCAAACCAGGACATTGAACACTTCTGGTCCGTCTACAATTTGGAGTGGCCTGACGCAACCGCAAGGGTTGTGGTTTTCCTGCGGCGCGTGCTGCCTTTGGAGAGCCGTTGCATCTCTTCGGACACTGAGGAAGCTTCGTCTGCAGCTTTTGCAGAGATGCCCGAGGCGGCAGACGAGTCAGACGAGTTAGAAGCTCAGGTGCATGATTGGCGCTTTTCGGAGCTGCGTACCACAGACCTTGCGGCCTTGCGAGAAGTGGATGTCTGTACCCCTTTTCGATTACCAGCCCTTGAGGATGAACATTGGCAAGGACTTAGTACAACGCCGAATAGACATGGGCCCCAACGCGCCCGGCCTGCTTGGTATGATGCTGCCACCGCCCATTGGGCCGCCCTTAAGGGGCTCACCCGATCCAAGCACCCAACCAAGCAGCGCCTCAACAGTTTCTGGTATAAACTTTACTGCCGTGGCAACCGCAAGGAGCCTGAGCCCTCGGCCCTTGCAACTGCCCTCTCCACCTTCCCCTTCCAGACCCGGAATGAAGGCGCTGTGCATTATTGGCAAGTTCAGGAGGCCATTCGGGCGATGTGGCATTCAGCCAAAGCCAACATGGCACGGCGTGTCGGAGTACCCATCCCGACGGGTATCCCTGCGTGGGGGGTCGATGAGGAGGAGTTGTCGCAAGCCTGTCTGTTGTCCCGCAATACAGCCGTCACTGATCCGTCAACTGCGGCTGAGGGAGTCAGCATGGCAGATCAAAAATCAGGGAAGCGTGCTGACATGCCCTCCTCCTGGTACCATTCGAGACACCCGGATTGGGAGGGTCCATGGCAATGAAGTGCTGCGGGCCGGATTAAGGTTGGATTGCTGTACTGCTGCTGCCACTCGCTGGCTTCCTTCCTGGGAACTAGGAGGACTATTCTGACGACGGCCCCAGGCTCTACTTGGATACGTGGCCGGGCTGAGCACAGTTGTGCGCCTGGGTGCTGGGAACTCTTGGTCGGTTTTCCAACCTGGGAACCGTAAAAGTATTGGCTCTGACTCGGGGTTGCTCCACTGGCTGACCACCATGGGGTGCCCTGGGCTGGTCTTGCAGCTGCTCTTGCTGTCAAGTCCCCACTGGCTGACCACCGTGGGGCGCGTGCTGGCTTTCCTTCTGCTGTAGGATATAGTGAGGGTTTGACTACTGTCGGGTAGTCTTTCCCCTCTGAATCGGTAGCCGCTGCTTTACGCAGGCTCCCTCTCTGGGAAGTGTTGAAAGCCCTGCTGACCGCGGCCCCTGTTTCTACTTGGGTATGTGGTCAAACTGGGCTCAGTTGTGCACTATGACCTTGGCCGGGCTCCAATAATAAAGCCACAAGTCGTGTCGGCTGTTGCTCGGGGCTGCCCCACTGGCTGACCACCATGGGGTGCCCTGGGCTGGTCTTGCATTGTTCTTGCCAACAAGTCCCCACTGGCTGACCACCATGGGGCGCGTGCTGGCCTTGCTTTTTCTCTGAGATATTGGGCCATTTTGTACCTTCCCTTTTCGCCACTGTGCGCCTGGTACCTCACCGTGTCGGTCGGTAATTCTGCTGTCGATCTTCGATTTACAGCTTGCCGGCTGACCTTCTTTGCACCTGTGGCTACATGATGGTGGTTTTGATGATCTGGCATACCCTCGCATTTTGCGACCCCCCCCGTATGCTCTGCGCTGCTCGATTACTGGACTTCTGCGACGACTTCGAGTACTGAGCGCGGGGGACACGTAGACTTTTGGTGCTCTGTTCTTGCGGGTTGCTGCTGGTTGGTGGTTGTGTTTTGTGTTTGTTTTGGTGTGTGTTTGCTTTGGTTTTCGCACCTGCTCCGTTTCACCTCTCGCATTGAGATCCCTAAGAACGGCCTACTGCGCTGCTGATGTAGTAAAGAGGCAATGGTCCAAAAAAAAACACATAGTAGCGCGGGGACAAAAGCTGAGGACTCTCTATTGGCATGGCGCACCTGTGACCGTGTGACCAACGACCTCATGCCAAATCACGCCAACTAATCATAACCTCTGCTGTGTGACATTACCGACACTCCGTGCAAGCTCGCCAGGTGTGATTCAACAGGAGGTTCGAGTTCATCCAGGGCCTCACGGTGCAAGGACAGCCTCAACGGGGCTTCAATAGCTACGCGCCGCCTGCTCACGAGCAACGGCGTCATGTTTACGCTACAGGATTGGCAGGGAGGACCGCTACTGGCCCGAGACGTTCGAGGTAGAAGTCAGAAAATGCGAAACGCTCTGCAGCAGCCACAGGTTTAGGTTCGAGATTATGGGTGAGAATTCGGTACTTGGAGGCGCCTGTCGATTTGAGGGCTGGAGGCTGTACGACTCGAAATCCTAGAGGCTCCGAAGTCTTGCAAGGGCATACTTTGTACAAATTGCGGTCGATCTGTTGCTTTTTCCCAGAACGCGTTCGAGAAAAAGCACTTGCAATGTTAAGCAGCATGAAGAAAAGCAGAGTTGCAGGGCAAACATCAACAAAGCCAAGTTATCGCTATACGAGAGTCCAATCCACATACAAAAGCGCAGGCACTTTCTTGTCGGAAGCGTGCTCCTCGAGCCCGACAGCTGTCACAGCTGAAATCTTAGTGAAGCTGACAAACAAAACTGCAGGATAGCATCATAAGGGCTCTTTTTGTCCACTACCCATGACAACTCCTTGTCAGAATGTAGATGCCGCAGACCTCAGGCCTTGTTCCGCTGTGGAGAGAGTTTGTTAGCCTCTCATGTTTGAGCATGCGGAAACCAAGAATGTCCTTCATATTTCAATGGGAAGGGGAGACCACAAGCACCAAACGCACCAGATCAAATACAAGTTCGGACCAAAAACTACAAATCACGCGCACAAGGAAAACACGATGGCACAAATTCGGGCCACAATTTACAAATCACGAGCACAACAAAGCACCAGATTGGCTCCGCCCTCTCCTGCCCAGCAAAGACCGTGGGCACCCGCTTGTCCCAACTTTGTGAGTTCTAGCGCTTCCGGCCACGAGAGCGAAGAAGGTCTAGAGGTTGGGGTTTTGAGCGATGGTTTTCTGAAACGTTTTTGGGTTTCCTTGCATTTTCTTTGTTTCGCAAGTTTTTGGATTTGACCAAATTTCACCATTGCTCATGAACTTCTGAAGTATAAAATTTGTTTTTTGGTTATTATATATTTTTCGTTGTTGGTTTTCCACAGTAAACTGTTCATTCCCATACATATCAACATGTTTTCATGTCCCCATACATATCAACATGTTTTCATGGTTTAACACCACCATCACCTCAATTGTATTGTTCATCATATCCATAGTCTCCCATTTTTGTTTATTCGCCGGAGTTTGGGAATAATACTTTGCCGTGAAACGCAGGAATAAAACAGTGAAAAATACGCTGGAGGCCCACGCCCAGGGTCCCCGTTTTTGGAAGAGTAAAACTGGTTTCGTGCTACTTTACATGAATGGAAAAAACATGCAAAGTTGTATGGGTATTGGTGGTGTTATTGTATCATTTTACTGTGCCTCTTGTTCCTGGTGTTTTGGCTCAGATGTGCTGTATATGTCGGGAAAGCTCGCATGTTCCAACAATTGTCTTGGAAAGGAATGGTGACATGTATGCAATTCAGGAGCATTAAATGAGTTCTACCACCACTTTCTAGTGCAACGGTTTTTTGCAATAGTGCATGATTGAAGACCCCATCATCCCAGGTTGCCAAGATCCCAAACACAGATCAATTCAGGGGTTATATGCCATTGTGGTGACGTTAGCGATGTCGTCTCATTTCTTGTCCAATGCCCGGCATGGCCAGCTGAAGTGCAAGCTTGCACACACACACAGACACCTTTGTCATACAAGTTTTTGTGTGAGAAAGACAAAATTTGTGAAAAACAGGGTTGTGTTGCAGTAATCGGTGAGCGTGGTTTCTTCATTTGTTGATGAATGTACAAGTATGCCCTTGCCATCCTTATGGGGTCACTTGCAATAGAGCCGTTGCATCAGTGAATGAAGAGTACCTGGCAAAGACAATAATTGCATCTGTCTGGCCATCGGTTCATGCGCAGAGCATTAAAGGCTAATTGGAGGGACAAAAGTTTCTTGACCAGTGCCCAAGGCGTCGCTGTTGCAGTGCCTTGTAGAGTGCAAGAAGTTGCAGGCGCCTCGTGCTGGCAACTGCAATCGCAAATGCGTATTCCAGCAAGACTTCGGCACAGACGCAAGTGCGTGGGTGCGTGGCGGAACATGTAACAATTGAGATAGGGTGTTCAATTGAAGCGATGGCCAGCAATGTGTGTTTTTCGATGGTTGGTGATTTGAACAAAGTACCACATCACAATCGATTCAATCGATGTTCAGGCGCCACGTGCTACTGTTTGCGCTGTTGCTCGGAGTTTGGCCAGTCCTCAGCATAGGTGACTCGATGTCACGTGCCAGCGCTTGCAGGACGGAGCAGGGGAGAAAGCTTCAGCTGTATGTGCCCACCAGCCTGAAAGGACAGGCGCAGCAGGTGATGACTTCGTGATCATCTTGCGCCACTTGGTCGACCCCGCCTGAGCCTTAGCAGGAAGGCAAGTTTTGAGTTGGAATACCTCTGCATTTGTGGCACGTTGGAAAGGCTTGGGAAGCAAGGCATGTCTGTAGATATACGTGTGTGTGTGTATATATATATACACATTTCTTGTTGTCATATTTGTGCCCTTTGAGAGAGCATGTGGCAAAGGGAAAACACATTCTGTTGGGACTGCTCGAGAGAGGCTCGAGATATGTCCTTTGACGAAGGTCCTGCTGCACCTTGAACCCCTCTTTCCCTATTGTAAGCGTTTTTGGTGTTTTTTTGGTGTTTCCTGTGAACGACGGCACATGTTATCACATGTTCACCACATGTTCACGCAGAGGCAAGTTTGCCGCAGCAGCGCTTTGTGGAGAACCGCGCTGGCCTTTCAACGCGGTGAAAGCTTGCACGATGCCTTTTTCAGCTGGCGAGAATGGTGGTAGAAACATGAATGGAAAGGCTTGGCCAGAGCTGACAGAAGAGGTGCAGTGGTGCTGTGGTGTTGTGGTGCTCTGACAGTGCTGTGGAATGCTGTGGTTGTGCTTGTCAGAAGAGTCAGCAATCGCCAGGTGGAAATGGTGTCGAGCCTGGAAACCCAGCGAGCTTTGCAGAGCGGGAACAGGGCAGCAGTTGGGGCAGCCCTGCCATATTTGCTAAGGTCAAAGTACTACCAAGGAGAGACGTCACATGCCTAGCGTTCATGCAAAGACGTGCAAATCAGTGAGACACCTTACCATGTTTCAGCAAATCCTTTGAGGTTTGGCCAGCTTTACAACGCCAGCCTGCAGCGAATATTGAAGTGTATGCAGGACACCTTGGGCTGCGTGCAGTCATTCAAATCATTGTATGCCAACGCAGACTCCAAGCCAGAGCATATGCACGAAGCGACCCTACCAAGAACCCTCTAAAGTTTCGTCCCTGCCATGCTTTGACGACATCAAGCGCTCAAAAGCACAAAAACTTGCACGAGAGACAGGCGAGAGGCGGTTTCGACCACGGAACATGCATGCGAAAGCCGTTGCACACTGGACGCGGCAAAGAATCCTCGGTTTTGGCATGGCCAAAAGCTTGGGGGAGAGCGCGACCTGGACCCAAAGCAAGCATCACATCAACTTTGAGTCCGACGGCGAAAGCCGAACCAGCTGTGCGGAGTCAACTTTGTGCCATCATTGCAAATTACAAGCCTTTTGTTCTCTCCTACTGCGCTATCAAGCAGTACGTGGACCTGAGCATGTGACGAAGATCGATTCGCAAGGATTTTCTTCAAGATGCTGTGGTGCTTGTGGCTCTTGGCGACACGGCCTTGGTGACGATCTGAAGCATTCGCATGCGCTAAGCCTGTCTTGCATCAGGCAATGAAGTCATTCCTCGTCCTGTTCACTGTCCTGCACTTCTTCTTCAGCTGCCTGTGGCCTGCTTGCACGTATTCCAGTTACTACCTAAGCTTGGTACTGTGGCTACGACAGATTGAATGTGCATGTCCTCCTTAAAGTTTTCATCGATAATTGCGGTTGCTCACGACTCCTTGCAACTGCCTGCAACTGCCAGCAACTGCAGGTTCTGCTTTCGGGGCGCTCACAAGGCTGCATGGGCGTGTTCGGGTGGGTCCAAAGTATAGACGAGACGTTAAGGCTTCTGTCCTATTTGCCAGATCGGCCTGTTAACTCGACGGCACTGGGCGCTTTCCAACCTTGTCTACCAGCTCCGAACGCTTTGGAAAGAAAGGACGCTTGTGCCATTTGTCCTTGCCACCATTCATCTTCGCTGTGCGGTTAGATCAGGAAGGTGCAGAGGCAGATCGCATCCGACTTCCTTCGAAGGCATCGTGCGAACTACACGTGTGAAGCCTTTGTTGCTGACGATCGGCGTGCCACTACGGCAGGCACCATACATCACAGCTGCTAAGCATCCGTGTGCAGAGACACATCGACTGGCTTCAGTTGCATTCCCAGCATAACGGGCTTGCTCAGCATCGCTTTAACATTGCCAGATTTGTTTGAACAGGCTGCACCAGTTCAGACCCAGGGATCCAGAAAAGGCGCTTGCTGCAAATTTTTGCACCGTGCCTTAACGAGCGTTCTAGGCTCTAGGCCCCCGAAGCCACGAGGCCCGGCGAAATGCAATGACGTTGGTGACCGAGATCATGGAGGCGAGCTCAACAACGCATACAACGCTTTGTTTCATAATGTTTCATATGACCCTTCAAAGCAGTTGAGACTTATCGTAACCTCCAGGAGATGTCAGCACCTCCGTTGATTGAACATCCATTCTTTCGGAGCTCGCGACTCACGGCAGAGGAGTAAAAGGGCAGAGCAACAACCTGTCCCAGTGAGGTTTTCGACACAAGCACCCAAAGCTTCTCAATCAGCTCTGCTGTGAGGCTTGCGTTTCCTATCGTTTCTCTCTTCTCGCATCTTGCTGTAGCCTCCGACATGCTATTCGGTGTTGAAGGCGCTGGTTCCAGTGTTCCACTGTTCTCCAGAAGTTGTCGCGGGCACAGCCATAGCAAAGTCATAGAATGATAGCCATTGTGGCTTTCAAGCCTCCCAGTGCCCATCAGCCGTCAGGTTTTCACTGTTGGAGAATCTTGCTCCATGATGTGAACCCCGGGAGTGCGAGGAGCCGCGTCTTTCGTGTGCTTGTTTCCTCCAGGTACGTCATCATTAACGGCCAAGCGCAGTATGCCGCGCAGCTGCCACCGCCCAGGGACCGGCGGGGTTTTTCGCAGAGAAACTCGCGCAGCTCGGTTCTTGAAATCTGCTCCGGCAGTCGCAGGACTCACCGGCAGGAACCCCTGGAACGCAGGCCAGAGTAAGCTGATGAGGCGTGGCAATGTCTCGCAGATGCCATGTTCAAGCAGGTCCGGAAGACGCTGCAGAGCGGTCAGCCCTGCGTTTCTTAATGTTTCTTACACATAGCAGCGGCTCATTTCTGTATCATGACAATTGAACCAAATGAATCAGTTTAGTAGTCGCAATGAACTCAGTAAAGTCAGTAAACTCAGGAAACTCCAGAAAAACTCATCCGGTGCCCACTCATGACAGGCCAGTGGCTGAGTGAGGCAGCTCTTTGGACTGGCTGGGTGCGCTCAGCTTTTGCTTTGCTTTGGCTTTGAGTAGAAAAAGCATGAAGTATGAACAAGACAAGAAGACATAAGATGAGAAGAGAACGATTCGAAGATGAATACACGCACCTGCAAATGGCAGAGGTACATCGGGGTGAGCTTCGAACGCTCTGTGACTGCCGGCTCCCTCGGCTCCCCCTTCTTGGGGATTGTCGCATATCATCGCATGTGATATCATGTGCGAATCGAGGCTTGTTCTTTGGACTGGAAGCAGGCAGATTTGCAAGGCCCTCCGTGAGCAGAGTTAGCTGATGCTAGCTGGCTCCTTTGCGAAAATAGTGGACAGGGTCATCTCCTCACAGAAATCGGCGCATGCTTTTGCAGCCAGTTATGCAAGGACGGGGCTGAAAGCAAAGCTGCCACCTCGCCTAATGGTCTTCACACGGGCTGTTGGCTGCAGGAAGTTTGTCGAAGGCTTGAACCGGAGCATTCAGTCCGACATCACAGAGGCAAGGGCCATCTTTGCGGGGAACTGCTCCGACGCTGTTATTGAAGTTGAGGCTGGACCAGTTGACTGAGAACAGGCGAGGGTTCAGGCAACTCCGGCTGCAAAGACCAAGCCGATGGTGACGAGAAATCTAGCTGTGAGATGGTGCAGCTCCGCTGTCAGGATGAGAAGGCATGCACCGCGAAAGCAAAGCAATTGCTGCACCCATCATATCATGTGGATACAGAAGTGGAGCAGAAACGTCACTCCAGATTGTTGCAGCAGGCTGGTTGAGTAGACAGACTTTTCGCTTCGACTGGATGCCCCGCCTCGCTCAAGGTATGCCGTCTTAATGGCAGAGAGTCGAGCGGAGAATGATCATAGAGCAAGCCTATGTTTGGCATTGGCGCTCGAAAAGCACAAGCAGCAAGGCAGCCTACACACCGCGAGCATCCGCAAGCTAGCAGACACTCTGATATACTCTAGACTCTCGTTGAAAAAGGCTAACTGTGTGGAATCTATGGCATCTAGTGAATCAAGTGACGTAGTGTTCCATTTCGTCAAGTTGGACAACGTTACGCTTTGTGTGTCTTTGTGCTCATGGAAGAGCAGAAGCTGGTCCGCCCAACGCGTTCCAATCTTGCCCAATATTGCCCAACATGCATTCGGAAGAGCTTTGCTGCTTTTCCGCTTTCTTGTGCCATTGCACCAACGACATGCCCCCGAGAATTGGAGAACAACTTCGGTACATTTCGGCACACTCCTTTCGCACACTGAACGATCTCAACAAGCCGTCTTTCTCCTTTGGTGACTTGTAGAGAAGGGAGAGCAGAGCTTCGGAGACTGGAGGTCATCGGCATCGACCTGGGGACTGCTGACTCATATGCGTGAAGCTCGTGGCAGATTGAGATTCAGCAGCTTCTTTCTGATCTTTCTGCAGTAGGGAAGTTGCAGAGGAGTTGGACTTGAGGTCGCATACATCCGAGGGGGTGCTATCGAAGTGGTTCAAAATGAGGCAGGGTTCCCATCAGAGTGATGTTGGTGACTCGGCTCCCACGTTCGATGTAAACTCTGCAGTTGTGGAGGCCCTGCATAGCTCTAGAGTGTGCCAAAAGGGGCGAACCTCAGTCGGACCGTAGTGTGCCAAGAAGTCTTTAATGGGACAACACAACCAAGCCAAATCCCTCAACACATTGCACGCAACTCATTGGTTGTCATGCAGAAATCATCAGCCGACTGCAGCGTCACAAGTTGCTGCTCAGCCAAGCCACCTAGATAGGAGCCTGAAGTGATCATGAGGAATTGTTCCACGGATCCTTTCCGGATGCTTGATTAAACCCGAGGACTTTCAGCAGGCTGGAGCAGGAAACCGCAGCGCAAGCACGCGATGGAGAAGATTGTTTTCTTTTCAGGAGACCATGTCGAAAGCTCCTTGCAATTGTAGACGCCCTCCATTACCTCAGTGGAAAGAACTCGCCACGCTGTGGTTTAGAGATGTTCAGAGTTTAGAGTTTAGATCTGCGTGGCTATGTCCATTGTTGAGGGTTGCCTCTGTTGCGTGCACGCTCCCAACTCAACTTGTATAAACATTGACCACAGATGTGCTCTCGCAGGGTCATGACTACATGTTGCCAATCATGTTGCTTGCACTCTGCTGGAGGAAAACTCGCCTACCACAGAATAAGAGCAGGAATAAATCTATTTTATGCTTCAAACGAAAGACGAGAAACAAGCGAAGAAGACGAACCGGAAGTAGAGAGAATTATGAGCAGAGGGGCCAGCCGTGGCAGGTCGCCAGAGGCAGAGGAAGAGAAAGGAGTAGAAAGTAGGGATGATGAGGATGGATGAGGATGGAGAACAACCAAGCGGAAGTGGGGATGCGATTAAAGGGGTCTGTGTGAATTTGTTCCGTATATTCGTCAGCAGCAATGCGCCTTGCTAGTGAGTCGCCTTTGGCATCTGAGAGGTCTCTCAGAGGAAGACGCCAAGTTTGGTTCGAGACCTGACTCGTAATCTGAGACTTGATCATGCCATAGTGCAGAAGGACCAGACCATGTTTCAGGTTGGGTTCACCGACAGGGAGCGCCTTTTGGGAGACACAGCGCTATCGCAGATCAAGTGCCTCGGAAATATTGTTGCATTCTATCGATCTCTATCGTGCTCCTGCATTTGGCAGGCTGTAGTCCTCATATGTGAAATGTCAACAGGTCAAATGCCAAGAACACATGCCCCGACCTCGCCCAATGTCTTTGTTGTGGTATGCACATGGCACCGCCTTTCCATGAGCCATGGCTCAGAGTGCAACACTGTGCGGAAGAATCGCTTGATGCATTTATGCCCCGTAGATATGCGAGGTCGAAACTTCAAGCACCTTCTTGGTCAGAGGCTGGAGTGGGAGACGCTGCAAGAAGTTCATAGGAAACAGCTGTCGGCTGTTGTTCCAGTGCTTCTGTTCCTCGCCAGCAAGTGAAGCTGGAGGTTCGACTCCCCCGCGGTGGAAGCAGAAAAGCACGCCTCTGAGTGAAGCATGAACAGGTGATTTGGTGAAAGTGAAACCTCCGACCCTAAACGAAGGGCTCATCCTACCATTCCGGATGTCCAAACTTAGAGAGTTTAGAGTATGTTTAGAGTACCTAGTAATCATGCAGCTGTCAGGGTTTGAGACGTTTCAGGTGTTAGGGCCTGTTAGGGTTGAGACTCAAGGGGTCAGCTTTCGACACATAAAATCAAGCTGCCTCGGAACATGGGCCCACACAGTCTCTGGACAGCGAAGTCCGCAGCCGCTGCAGGGGGGTATAGCAAAAAACCTTCATTTAAGATTTGTTTAAGTAGCATATCTTTCTGCTGGGTTTCCTGGGGATGCAAGCTTAGCAGTCCAGGCACTTCTAGGGTCCCCTGAAGGACTGGATGCCATAGCTGCCTTGTCGGAGTGCATGTTGGTAATAAAATCTGTTCATAATGATAGCGGAATTCCTCTGCTAATAGTTTGAAAACAGAACATGTAGATCAAAAGTACGACGAAGAAGAAGAAGAAGAAGAAGAAAAAGAGGAAGAAGAAGAAGAATAACATAACAAAGAAGAAAGGGAAACACACACATTTAAAGACAAAGAGCTGTTGCAATGTTGGATTGTAACAATAGTGTGTCCAACAAAGACACATTTTTGTAAGATGGAATTGGAGAGAATGAGTTCATAAGTACAGCAACTCCTTATAAACTCATAGAAACAACCTCCAAAACCCATATTGTTGAACCTGGCCGACAAACGCTCTCTTGGGTGGAGCCCACTTGTGCTGTTTTGGGTTTACGCCCTCGTTAGAACCAGAATGCTAAGGACTTGGTTGTGTAAACTTGAGCTTTGTCGAGCGAACCTGAAAGGCTGGCAAAGCGGAGCCCACTGCCCCTCCAAGATGTTACGAACGGAAGCTAACCTGCCGCACTACATTTATTAGCAAGTTGTAGGGGTTTAAAGTTCAAGATCTTGGGTTTAAGTTTTTCGTGTTTTGGGTTTAGGGGAAGCCCGAATTTTGAGGACCAATGAAGAGAACTGTCCTTATATGTCCCTTCACGAGTTCACCCTGCTCCCTACCAGCTGGCCATATGTGGCCATACCAAAGTGGTTGTGGGATTGGTGATCCTGAACTAAAGGCATGCTGAAAAACTGACTTCGAAGCTCAACTAGTGCATTCTGGCCAATGTTTTGGAATTGGGGATCGAATCAAGCCGGTCAGCGTAGCGCAAAAAGTTGATACTAGGGGCACCCCAATTATCACCAGTCCCGGCCGGTTTGTCAAGAGCTGGGCACGGAGAGATGCCACTGGGGCATCTGTGATTGCGGATAAACCAAACAAGGCACTTTTTGAAGCCAAACGTGTTCCTTTTTTGGCTTTGCTTCGGTGTGTGGCCTTGTTGCCGATGGCACGGGACTGCGGGGTCCTGGATTGCCGCTTCCTGCATACGGAATATACTGATCTTCCTATCCTCAAGGAGGATAGAAGAAAATGACGAAAAGTGCCCGTAAAGATGAGAAAAAAGGATTGAGAGTGCCTCGAAGACTTGAATTTCCGAAGGCAAACGTTCGCTCACCTTTGCTGACCATCTCGCCAATAAAGTTTGGTTCTCTGACTCTGATCTGCGTGTTAATCTCTCGAACCTTTCTCTTCCAAATTGCCACATGGACCGTCCTTTTACTATGACTGATCTTGACAACGCTTCGCAAGCTCAAACCTGGCATCCAGCACCTAGTGGTATCCTGTGTGAACATTTTCAAGCACGCCCTTATCCTGCGTGTTTGCGTTACATGTTCAGTCCCTTCCAGCTGGCTTTTTGCCGAAGTTATTATGCTCGTCAAGGACCATGCAAGGACACCCGTGCTCTTTCGAATTGCTGTTCCATTTGGCTTCCTAGATTTCCTACAAAAAGCTTCCGCATCAATGCTCCAGTCTCGTTCACCGCCGTCCTATGCAGTTTCTGAGCGTTTCTGAACTCTTGCAGAAGGTTAGCAGCCTTGTACCATACCCCCCCTCCAGGGCTCGTTGTTGTTGCGATGCTTAGTCGCTCAGAGCAGCCAGGGCTTGACACAAGGTTGTCCTTTATCTCCGAATCTTGTTGCTATGTTCTCACGCATCTCTTCCTGAGTCACTTGATGTCACTTGACGGTCATTTTGCGCAGTCTGCCTTCACGTGCTCAGACTAGAACTCCGAAAGGATACAAAAGAAGGGACACAGTGCGAGCGACTGTTGGAAGAAGGTAAGAGCAGTAGATGACGAAGAAAATGAGGCATAAGGAGCAGAGAACCAAGCGCAGAGAAACAATGGAAGCAAGCACTCAAGAGCCATAGACCAGAGTCGTTACTGTTGAGCGCTGAAGCGGCTTTGAGTCTTGTGAGCGGCGAGCAAAAAGTGAGCATCATCAGGCGGACTCGAGATTTTGGCCGTGTTTAAGACATAGCATAGCCCTTTAGGTCTCGCATGGTTTGTGCCTCGTCCTTGTTGTTGGAGCTACGACGTTTGTTTGCATCGTTGAAAGTGGCGAGGCTGTATAGAGACTGCAAATGTCTGGGCCATGGCTCAGTACCTGCATGTGCTGCTTCAGGTTTTGGTCGACTTGTCCGTTAGTGCAGACTGAGGAGGGCTGGCTTGAAAGTTTCCATCTTTGGTTGATGTTCTGCTGGTTGTTCCAGTTCGGCCGCTGCTGCAGGATGGCTTCACTGGCTACTCAGTCAACTACAAAGGTGAGACGACGCATTTCTCAGCCACAGAGGTGGGGCTATCTTGGATTCTTCGATGCTTTGGTGGTGATGCATCCTGAGGTTACGGCCATGTTCCTAACCAAGTTGAAGCAGGTAACTGAGGCCACCATGCGATGATTGCCATGACCTGCCGACTTTCGATATTCTCTGGATCGTACCTGCTCGAGGCATGGTGTGGTGCGAAGGTGGCTGATGCGGCTGCCTCGAGACATCAGCTGGTCAGTTCAAGGCCAATGTAGAATTGGTTTGCGAATGTTTGCGATTGTTCGATGGCATGTCATTTGACCATGCCGACATGCTAGATCGCTTAGAAAGCTGTGGATGTTGGTGCTGTTGGTTCCCCTGGAAGTACCTGGAAGCTTCATCGGCTCACTGTTGTCTGCAGAGCATTTCTCTCCCAAGATGCACTTATGTTTCAGATGCTGATGCGCTTAGGCAGTCATCGCGGTTCCGTCGCACTTCTCTGACTTTCAACGTGTTGGCCCCTACACCGCTGAAGCTTTCAGCTAGGTAGGCTAGGGCCTTGCAGTGTGTGGAGATCAAGAGACTCAGTGGCTTGGTTTGAAACTGTCGCCGTCAGCATCGCTGTTGCCAGAGTTGCTGCCTTGAGGTCAGGCGTTGTTGGATGCTGCAGCAATTGCTGACCTCCATGTGCTGAGAGCTGGAATCTCAAGCTTGGCTTGTTGCACCTTGTGGAAGTCAGCCAACGCCCCAAAACGCCTCGGCCGACATCCGGGCAAGGCTGCGAGCAACCACGACAGAACGTCAACCAAACAATACAGACAAGCAGCCCTTCCTTTTGGCGCTTGGATGCGAAGTCCCAGATCTTGCGTCTCTCTGAATGAACACACCTTGCAAACATATGACTAGTTGCGTTGAAAACCCCATCTTGGCCAGCCCTGGTTTTCAGCCTGCTTCGGCCCCAACGATACATTGCATCCACTCAGAACATGTATTGGAAAGTCATTGGCCTCAGGAGGCTGCCGTGCGCTGAAGGTCTAGTTCGGGTGGTCAGCGGCTGGTGCGCATTGTGGTGCGACATTTTGAGGTTGTCAACGAGCACACAGCGACAGCTTTAGAGCCACCGACTTAGTGACACAGGTCAAAGGATCGCAGGTGACCAGTGTTCATGATCCGGGTCTACAGTAACGACTGCAGCGAGGTACGGCTTTTTCAGGAACAGCAACTTTGATACTGAGAAGCCATCGACGGTGGCTTTCTGCCAGATGGGTTTGAAGCTCAGGAGACTTCGCACCCTCAAGTAATAGTAGCCTAGCCGCCAGCTTTTTTCCTCTACAGCGTTGTGAGGTCATTCCAATTTCTCAGTGGCAATTGTTCAGTTCCTCAAGGGTGAGTTGACGGTGCTATGTGAGAAGTCGGACAAGGCTGGGCTGTTGGGGAACGATGGGGGGCAGTCCTGATCGTGAGCATCCAGCAAGGTGGGAGGCCGGGACATGGTGGAGTGTCTCATCAGAACCTTCGCCGAACAGCGCCTTGGACATGACTGGCATGTGGTCAAACATGGGTTGACGAGGCTTGAGCCATCTTGTGCTTTTGATTGCCTTGAAAATTGCGGCCGGTGCCCTTGCACATCGAGGTTTAACAAGAAGACAGGCCCAGCTATGCCGATGAACGTAGATGAACGTAGATGAACAACAGTGGCATTCCTCGCAAAGGACTTGGTCAACATAGCTGTGGCAAGGGTGGACTTGTGTCGACTGTATCGGCTTCCGCATGCCTTGCCTGGCAATCGCGATCCATTGTAGGTAAGATGTAGGACTTTACTTGTCAATGTGCACAAGCTTAAATGCTTCGTTCAAGACAGGCTGCGACGTCTTGACCAACAAGAAAGCATGCTTCAAGCTGGAGGATGGGCCTGTGAAGCTCCAACGCTGTTCGAACTACGGCAAACTACACCATAGAACCTAATCAGAATTGGACCAGAAGTGAATCAGAATTGAATCATAATTCAGTCAGAATTGAGAAGTGCTGTAGACAAAGTATACCATTGCGACAGTCGTGAGAGTCGTGTGTGAGGTTCGGGGCCAGAGCTTATTTTCTGCCGTTGGTATCTTTGATGCTGCGTGCCAAGCTTGTCTTTACAAAGTAAGCGCAGCCATTGGCGGCAGCATCTATGTCATTGCACCGCATTATGCAAGCCTTAGGTGCATGTCTGTAGAGATCTTGTTGATCCAAAGGCTCCTCAAGCGCTGCACCGGGCCTTCACGATACAGTAGTCGGAACACGCTTCAAAAGGTGAGCGCACGTGCTGTCGGCAGATTTCTACCTTTCTACTTAGTTAACCCTGTAAAGAAGATTCAAGGAAGCATCCTTGTCAGGGTTATTTATAGCACTGGGCATCCGAAGTGGCCGATTAAAGGGCTCGCTTAGTGCTGATTCTTGTTGTTGAGAGCATGCGGTATCTGTCCGCTTCTGGCACTTGCAGGATGCTGTGGCCAAAACGAAGAAGATTCTGTCCGCGAACACGGAGGCTGCTCTTTCAAGTATCCCAGGAAAGGAAACTGCACACCGAACATTTCAGTTGTGAACTCGATTCCCTGAGCAGGCTGGAGTGTCTTGTGAGTGCCTCATGGAGGATCACGACTTTAGTGGTCCTTTGCTCAGTATCCAAACAAGCATGGCGACATCATTCACATGTATGGTCCGGCTTCGGTCTAAGCCGACACCATACACGTCAAGCCTCAAGCCTAATGAGCCTACACCCTAAACCCTGAACTCTAGCAAAAACCCTTAAAACCCAAAGTCCGGGACCCTAATCCAAGAAACCTTGTAAGCTCCAACATAAGCCCTACAAGCTGCGTAAACTTTGCAAACCCCATATCCATGGAAGCCCCACAAAACTTATCCGTCTGTTCGCCCCACTACCCCAAACCAAAAGCCCAAAATCTAAGGCTTGAAACTTAAGCCTAAAGCGCTTCATGCATGCAGTCATGACACGCTTGGAACAAAATGCTTGAACGAAGAAGCTACAGCATCGACCCAATTAGTCACGAGTTTACGGGCGGGGGTTTAGGGGTTGGGGGTTTAAGGGGTTCAGGGATTTACGGGTTTAGCGGTTTGGACGCAGAAGGGTTCAGAGCTTGATAAAGGGTTGGGGGATTTAGGGCTTTCGGGGGTTCAAGGTTTAGGGTTTAGGGACTGAAAAGGCTTAGGGGTTTTGAGGCTTAGGGTTCAGAGTTTAGGGGTTCCGGGATTAACAAATTTAAAGAGCTCAAAGTTTAGGGGTTTGGAGCTTCAGGGGTTAGGGGTTTAGGGATTTAGAAGTTCATTGGTTTGGCGGCTTAGAGGTTTAAGGATATAGGGGCTGGGGGTTTATTTACTTGTCTAAGGTTTCTGTTGTTGGAGTTTTGGGGTCTCCTTGTAGGGTTGCTTGTAAGTTCCATTGGAACCCTGTTTGTCTAATTTTGAAGCTAGGGAGCTGAGCCCAAAAGTTCCGCTGCATGGGAACAGAGCACTGGTTTGGGAGGCAGGAGCCCAAGATCTTGCCTTGCCCTCACCGCCTGCTCCTGCCTCAACCGCTGTTGGCCTGCCATCGTCTTGGACACCGTCCTCTTTGCCTTGCTTTCGGTGACCGGACTACGTGTCCCGGTCTCTGCTCGCGCCGTGGCTGAACCATTGGTGGTTGGCCTCGGGACGTCAAGTCGAACCACCTTCGGTGGCATGAGCCAAGTTTGTTCGGCTCGGTCAGGTTGGTCAGCTGGAGGCCGAAAATATCGTGTGGGGCGAGAGGACACAAACTGAGTAGCGACTGAGGTAGCTTGTGCGGCAAAAGTGGAAGTTGGCGGCCAGAAAGGGGCAGCGAGGCCTTCTGTTCCCAACGCTCGTTCTCTCGGAGGTATGAGATCGACATCGGGGGGCTGGGACCCCCGGGGTCGAGCAGCGCTCTTCTCTTTGATTCTTCTTTTTCTAGCGCTTAGTCGCCTCCTCAAAGGGTGTTTTGTTTTTCCGGAGCCTCTGGAAGAAACCCTTTCGCAGCCAAAGCGGCCTCTGGACCTTTGTCAGCCTTTGTCTCTGGGGTTTTTGGGTGTCTTAGCAGTTTCTTACCCTTTATGCGGTCTGGGTTACATGCACGTGCTCCTTGGAGAGTAACTTGCAATGAGGAAATGTTGACCGGGAGACGTTCTTGGAGATGTGCAAGCCGATGATGAAGAAGGCGCCTAGTCGGCAGTATCAGGCATTGGAAGCGCTTTGGCCTGAGAACTTTGACGGCCAGGTAAGTGACGTATTGGAGGCGGCCAAGGCCCTTACCAGCCGAGCGGCAGCTCAGAGACCCGTCTGCAACTGCATATGCATTCTCCGATCACAATGGTCAGGCTTCGCTGAACCTGTCAGTGGGTGCAATCGATTCAGCATATGGCCCAGTATTCACATGGTACGGGTGCAGACAGCGCATGCCTTGATCACATTGCGTTCGGCGGACTGACTCAGGTTGAGATTTGCGGTGGAGCTGCACGTGTACCCTGGGTGAAGGTGGGATTCGGTGCTGAGTCGAGCCTCTGCCTTCCCCCCTCCTCACTTTCCCGCAGAATGCATGCAACTGACGAAACTTGGCAGGAGATGTGCTCCAAAGCTTTTGGTGGCAAAGAGTTGTCAACTACCATGAATGCAGACGAATGCGTCGCTCGAGGCCATTTGATAAGCGCTTGCTGCAACTTTGGATTGTGCTCGATAGTGTCGTGTCTCTGCCAGTCTCTACAAGACTGCAGTATGCTGGTATACTGGAGTGCCGCCAGGATGTGCCCTCCAAGCTGCTATCCTGTCACCGCTGTACAAAGTACAGGACTTCAAGGTGGAGGATCGCCTGATTCGCGATGATTGGTGGAGTTGTCATGAAGGGTACCAGCTAGATTGAAGCGAACTCTGCTGAGTCAGCTGTGGCTTACGCACTTTGCAAAATGACAACGACCAGAGGATAGCTGCAAATTCCCCATCAGTGGGAGCCTCAGAGCCTCGCCATGCTGGTGTGACCAACCCTCAAGTGGTATGCGAATCTATGCGACCTAGGCCACAAGGAGCGTTTATGAGCTTCAAGACACGACACATCCGATCATCCTGAACTTCCGCAACTCATCGCAACTCTGAACTTGCGCAGCGTTAAGGCATTGGGTGGCAGATGCCCGCCAACAGCGATGGAAGCAACGGCAACACCAAGGCTGTGTCTTCTCTGGCCCCCAAGGAAGTAATCAAGGAATGGTTGTGGTCGCTCCATCTTGCTTCTGAACAGAGGTCTTTTTCAAAGGTTATCCTTGTCCTCCTCGATTGTGAAGAAGTTAAGACGCAAGGGGGGGGGGGAGCTACTATTTCCACAAAGCCTCTCCGCCGAACCCAGATCACTGCGAATGGCAATTGTCGGAAGGATGTGACCTCAGTGGTTTTCTCGACTGACTCCGTCCTCAATCTGCTCAAGGTGTGACTGCTCTTCACAATGGAACTTTCCAGTGTCATATGACGCTTCTGCTTTTTCAAGCGTGTCCACGTGAAGGTCATTACCTTCAAGCGGAAGGGCCCATTCGATCTTACCGTTTCTTATGCCGCCGAAAAGCTGCCTTCTGGCACCCCAAAGGACACTGAAGAAGCTTGAGTTCACCTCGGTGGGTTCGTGAACAGAGCAGGACCTGGGTATCTATACGATTGAGGTGCCCCTGCAAGACGTCCCAAAGAAAGTGAAGGTGCGACTCACAAGGGCCAGACTAGCCAAGTAGGCCAGTCCGGGACTTGCCGAACGTGATCTGCATCCTGATGAGTTGAGAAGCAAAGGTGAAAACTGTGTTGACCCTCCATGGTACGTTTTGCGCCGCTTGGCTTCTCGAGAGGTAGTGGCACATCCTGGGAGCCAGTCAGTTGAGGGTAGGCATACAGCAGCCGGTTGTATGCTACTCACACTGAAATCTGAAATTGTCAGCTCTCGGTGAACATGGCATGTGGCATCATGTGGCAATGGCATTGGTAGCATGAGGTCCAGAGTGCGCATCTTGTAGAGGAGGAGGAGGACGGACGTGGGATGGTCAACAGGCGTTCAATAGTCGTGGGTGATTGAAAGCTCGCTTCTTCATTGCTGACTGACATCGCACTTTACTATTTGGATGTCGTATCAGCACCTGCCTAAAAACCCTGCACAGCACAGGCGCGCAAAGATGAGTCGCGACAGGAATGTCGAGTAGAGGAACGAGCACGGCAAGGCTATAAGCATAATGAAAAACTGACAACCCCAAGATTAAAGTCATGAGAGCATGAGACCACTGTGATGCCCGCTTGGACATACGGACTTGGTGTCCAGAAAGAGGGTGAGGTGCTCCTGTGATGACGCGATCCGTCAGAAAGCCTAAACCGGACACAGTACAGGGCGGCTGGTACAACAGCCGCGCAACCAGTGATGGGGACGCCTCCCGAAAGTGCACTTGAACACAGCGGAAAGGTGAATCAGAGGCGACAGCCTCACGGGCTTCTTGAGAACAGAAAGAAACGCAATTGGCTCCAGCAGGAGCCCGCCACAGCAGATGTGCAAACCAAACCTGTGGCGGCAGAATGACTGCAGAGCTGTTGTATGCAGTTTCAAGGACATGCTGAAGACTGCTCAAGTTCATCGGCCATGCCAGTGCCATCCAGCTGCGAGAAGTTGATCCAGCATTCTGCACATGCTGGCCAGATGCAGGACGCCCCCATGCCTGATGCCGCTGATCAAGAGGCGGGCTGTGTTTAAGCATTGCGCGCAGATCTGCATGACTTCGGATTCGCAGTGCTGCCATAACGATTGTCTCCGACAGGCCTCGAGGAAAAGGAAAATCAAGAGAACAGACCTGTCCATCAAAAAGAAAGGTTGCTGCAGCCTTGGAAGATCCTGGAGAAGTGCTGAAACACGGTACGTGATGTACGAGTCGAGATCTCCCATCGAACCTGAACGACGTTGAATCGCAGGTCCCACATTCAATCACCACCAACAAGTGAACAAGCAGCCCAAGAGTAATATCAATATCAGACACCTCCAGCCGATGAGCTTGACAGAGGTGGAGCATCTAGAGTCGAGAAGGGTCGAGTGACCATGCCAATGCAAATGAAGTGCAATTTTGTCCAGGTCGAGCTTGGCGCTTGTGAGTAGCAATGAGTAGCAATTATCTAGTACTATTTAGCACTGATGACTAAGGTCCAGGACTGAGTGAGACACTGCCACAGCCTCAGGGGTCAATGGGCTATCATATGCTCACGGACAATCTTGTCCTTGCTTGGCTAGAGAAGGTTAAGAAAATACACCGTATCAGATGTCGAGGTGTTGAACACGACAGGCTGCAAGCAGACTTGGTACAGTGTTTCCTCTGCAGGTGCTACTTCATGATGTTGGAGTTGTTGTTTGTCTTGTGAGTGTGAACTAAGGCTCAAGGTAAGCAAAGAGAAGGAAGAGAGGATGATCCAAGACATGCAGGACAGCTTGTAACATCGATAAGCCTCGACATGTTTACAACAAGTTGTGCACCTGCGCCTAAAGTCGCCCAGTACTCGGCAAGCAGAAGAATGAGCTAGGTATTGCATGTATTGCACACAAGAAATGCGTGTGTGGAGGAGGTGATCGAGACAAACGCCAGGACAGTGGGGACGCTCATCGGACAGACTCGCTATATCTAGTTTGCGCTGCATGCGCAACATGCAGGAAGAACGACTTGGAAGCGTACATCTTGACGATGCGCAGCAGTGGGTCGTGCCATGTTTGGGGACTGACCAACGCTGCGAGATTTCACAGCTAGGATCGCGCTGCCCGTGGCTCGGTGGCCGATTGTAGTAAGAAGGTTGATCATTGAAGTACATGCAGGTCGCATTAGTCGGTGCTTCTTGGACCCGCGAATCTTCTTCGAGCCATGGATGCCGTGGCTAAGAAGACAGGTTTCTGCACGAACTAGTGCTCACGGAAACGCATCAGCAATTTGCAGGGGAGACATCCATGGTGTTGTGGTTGTGCTTGTGCAGGGTTTGCGCAAATGCTCGTTGTTCGTTGGGGCGAGAAGTGCATAGCTTGTGCCCGGACTGCATGGGAGACTGGCTGAAGGCCTGGTCGAGCCTCACAGACCCCGCGCGGGTGGGCAAACCTACAAAAGCATAAATTCCAGCTTCTGCTTTATCTGCTCTTCACTCATTGAGTAAATTTGTGCCCTCTCGGCGTGTTTATGTGTGCCAGGCATTGCAGACGGCGGAAAGTTGAAGGGTTACATCAAGGCAGCGGTCCTCTTAACTTCGACGAACCTGTTGTTCTACACTTCCTGGCCTCAGGCATACTTCATTCATGGTGTAGTGACGTGCAAGTTTCATGAGTCTCAAGCATGCAGCTTATGTCCAGAAGCCGGTTGCTTGCGAAAGTGTGAACGTCAGTTCCAGGCGCATTAGTTGCCACTGCACGCTCTGCAGATTCTGCTGTCAAGTCCCTCCCTAAGTCCGGTGTAACACACGTGTCAGGCACCATGTTGTTTCATGCATGTTTGATGTCGGGGGAGGGGGTGGCAGGGTGGAGGGCGGCAGGTCGAGGGGTGGAAGGTGGAGGAAGGGCGGGCAAGTGAGGGAAGGGCAGTGACAACATGCATGCTGCATTGTCATGCTTGTAGTGCGGGCATGTTGGCAAGTGTGTGGACCATTGCGAGAACTCGCCACGTCATCAAATGAAAGTAGAGTAGAAAGTAGTTCTGTTCTACATGACTCTTCGGTTCATAGTTATATTATAAACTTTGAATTCAAAACCTTTGACAGGCTATAAGGAACCTCTCCACTATGTCGGGATGCCAGCGCCACCTTTGGGAAGCACTATGTGTGTACTGGGGAAGCTGGTGGTACTATTACCCAAAACTAAGGGCTTGTCGTTCCTTGACGTATAGTGAAATTTGGTCATACTAACAAGTCCAGTTCTGACGGACCGCTGTGCTGCAGGAAGAGGATAGCTTGATGCTGTCAAAACAACTGGAAAGTGCAGAGGAGCGCTGTTCTTGGATTCAACGCCGCTTGCGTGCAGGCAATAGGATTCTCTTTTTGTTCTGTTTATGCACACACACACACACAAAAGGGCCCTGTGGCTGAGCTAGCGCATGTTTTTGCTCTTCTTGGCCGTGGGGCTGGTGGGTACGATTCTTCATGTTACGTTCAGTTGCCTCCCCGCCCTTCTCGGTGTCTCGGTCTCCAGGCCTGGTCCTTGTGGTGCCTCCAAGAGACGCCTGCCAAGAGTCCTGCCGAGACTCCCTGGTGTACCCGAAGAGAACCCCACAGGGAGTCCCGCCGAGTATCCTCCCGCATCAGTCCGCTGCTGTAGGGTTGGGATGAAGCAAAAGACTTGTATCTGGTACTTTGAAGATCTTTGAAGATAGTTAGTTGCGGCCTTAATTGAGTTTGCTCCTGGAGCATGTCCAGGAAGCACATTGGGCCGTGTCGGTACGAATTCATGCCGGCTGCAACCCATTTCTGCACAGCTTCGCCGGATCAGCGCCGTGGTTTCTTCCCCATGCAAGTCTTTATTTTGGGATGTAAAGTGGCCACAATGGGTTTGCAAGGCGAGACCTTGTGAGGGTACTAAGCAGGAATCCCAAGATGACAAGGCCAGCAGGCTTGGTAGGTAGTCAGGCAGGTAGGTAGATCCGTAGGTAGGCCGACAGGTGACAGAAGGTGCCAGAAGGTGATGCAAACTGGCGGCATTTTGCCCATCTAGCCTGCAGGACTGGCTGTACGATCACCCGGACGACCCAAAAGAAGCATTTGTAAAGAAACTTGAGGAACTGAAAGCAAGCTCCCCAGCAAGCAAGGATTGCGCCGAGGCTTGTGCTGTTGAAATGGCCGGAGCAGATGGGGTCGTACCCTGCAGGTGCTGGGTGGGCCAGCGGAAGCCCGTGCTGTCCTTAGTGTGAACGTAGCGCCATGACTTGGCCACAAATTTGAGTTTTCGTGCATGTTTGTGAAGAATTTCGAGCCTATGCAGGTCATCGCGATGATGTCCGCAGACCAGAGCTTATTCACAGCTTAGAAGAATCGATCACTCGGTTCAAGGCAATCACTCGCTTTCTCGCCTACTGCGCTGTGCTGGCTTAGGGGAAGGTTTGCGTACAATGTCAGCTGCAGTTTTTTGGGCAGGCCGCATCCGCATCCCAGAAGCCCACGCGCAGCATCACTGACAATGCCAAGTTGCAAGGGCTAGAGAAGACCTGCGAAGAGGTACGTGACCGAGTGCTGTCAGTGAGCAAATGTAGCGAAGATGTGGGCATTCGACGTCATCATTGAAATGTCGAAAAGGTTCAGCAGTGGTTGGCCGAATTGATGCTCGGCTGATGTGGCGTGCGTTTAAGCAAGTTTCTTCCGCTCAAACTCCTGTCCCTGTCAAGCGGTGTCATGTGTATGAGTTGGAAGCATGACACACGTTTCACATGAGGTTCTGAGCTTGTGCAGGACTGAACTCTGTCTGCAGGGTGGGATTTCTCGAGCCACGCAGGAAAAGATAGGGAGCGAGGCCTGTGGGCCTGCTGATGTTGTGGCACACTGCTACTTTCATGGTAGCGGGAGCCCTGGTTCAGGGTGACCGCTTGAGAAAAAGGTGATCCGTGCTTAGATGGCTGGCAGAGATTTTGATGCCGTGCCGACGTGGAATGGAGATCCAGGGACCTTTCAGACATTTGAAGTGGCCTGCAAGTGGTATGAGAAGACCTTGAAAGACACTGAGCGGCGAGGTGCAGCAGCGAGAGTGTGGAGTCGCCTTACCGGCCCCGCAAAGAGCGTGGTGCGGCATTTGTCGCCCGACGAGTTTGATGTCTCCAATGGACTCTCGAAACTTTTGCAGGTGCTTCGAAGCTCCCCGTTGCAGACTTTGCCAATACCGGATTCCTTCAGCAAGCTGGAGCGGTGGCATCAGCTGCGGCGGAAGGAGGGCGAGTCCATCCCAGAGCTGATTGTGCGGGAGGATGACCTCTTCCGAGAGCTGCAAGCAAGCCTTTTGAGATCGAGGGCTCGAGTGGAAAGGATTGCTTCGTCCACGACACCCTCGACACCGGCCTCACCGAGTTCAGCAAAGGCCACTGAGAAGAAGGAAGAGGAGCCCGCTGCTGATGGAGCTGGTTCCGCTGAGCCCGTCAAGGAGCCAGGTGGTGATGATGAGGTGCATCGGCACCTTGGCTTCTTTGAAGACGAGCTTCGTGGGTTCCGCCTGCTGAAGGCGGCCGGCCTGACGAATGACCAGAGAATGCAAGTGCTCACGCTCACAGCCAATGTTGTTTCCTTCGACCGGATCCGCCAAGCGCTCCGAGCGTTGTATGACGAAGAGGACCCCTCCGCCAAGCATGCCCGACGAAAAGGGGTTTGGTATGCGTCTGAAGATTGGGAAGAAGATGTTCTCTGGCAAGGAGGCGGCGATGATTGGCTGTGGGAGGACTGGGCCTGGGACGATGAGACTTCGTACTGGGCTGAGTGGTCCGAGTGGCCAAGTGACGCAGGATGGCAGGGCGAAGATGGTGCTGACGTCGCTGGAACTGAGCCTCCAGTTGAAGGGGCCCCTGGCGAAGAAGAGGAGGTGCTGGTGGTGCAGGAGCAAGAGGCTGCTGTGTTGGCGGCAGAAGCAGCCAAGACGCTGCAGGAAGCACGTCAAGCCATCCAGAAAGTTCGGGCGGCTCGGGGCTACTACCCCCTGGGCGGCAAGAAAGGCGGCCTCTCGGGACATGCGGCAAAGGGGAAGTCCTCAGCCAAGGGCCTTGGCAAGGGCAAGGGCAAGTCATCAGGCAAGCCGTCTGGAAAGGGTGGCTGCCTGATTTGCGGCCGCTTTGGCCATTTCTTCCGAGATTGCCCAAATAGGCATGCGAAAGGAGCGGGCAAGCTTGGCAAGAAAGGTGCTAACATGTGGATGGACCAGGTCTACCATATGTACTTCATTGACGCTCCGGCTGAGAACCTCCCCGAGACCGAGCCCATGGAGCCGATTCTCGACCGCATCGTAGAGCCGACCGACGCCGACTTGGAGGAGCAGAACCTGCAGTTCCACCAGGCCGACCCCTTGCTGACGATTCCGGACAAGTTCGAGCAAGCCCTGGTGCTGAGCTTGGAGACCGCAATGATGGCGGCCGTCGATGGAACGCCAGGCTTCATCCTGGACACTGGTGCGACAGAGAACGCAGTTGGAGTGAAGACCCTGCAGACAATGATTCAGAGAACTGGCGTTCAGCACATGGTGTCGCTCGACGACCGCCCCGTCTTCAAGTTTGGCGATGGTTTGAGTTTGCGGGCCTGTTCGAAAGTGACCTTGTTCGGAACGGGCCTGGGGGAAGTTCACTTCTACACCTTGGACGGCGACCACAGGCCACAAACTCACAATGCTGAGAACACTCCGGCACTGCTCGGCAGCAAGTTTTTGAGAGAGGCTAGGGCGACAATTTCGTACGATCGGCTTTGTTTGTGGTTTCAGGATAGAAGAAGCACCCTATGGGCCACAGAACTTCTCCAGACTCAGTCCGGGCATCTGATGATTCCTGTTGCTGGGCGTCTTTTGGACCTGACTTCCTTTCGGCTGAAGGTCGAGCAGGAACATGGTGTGCGGCTTCCTCATGCTGCGACTTGTTTGATGGACATTTTGTTCACTCCAGGTGCTCTTGAAGCACTTCGTGATGCGCAGAGCAAGCAGCCCGGATGCAGCAAAAAGATTGAAGATAGCCTCGAGGAAGGTTCAGACATGTCAAGTGCTTGGGGGACAGAGTCAGCAGAGCAAGTCCTGGCCGCATTCCCTTTCGGCAAGCACGCAGTTGAGCCGATTCATGTTGTTGATCGCCCTCAGCTTTCGCAACGACTTCGAGACTTGAGTGCCCGCTTGTCCTTGTTTCGCCTCCAGTGCTTGAATGGCTCGCGAGGCAGCTCCGTTCGACGACCCGCGCCAGAGTGGCTATCCATGCTGGACCAAGCACACTCCCGGCAACAAGCGCGAGAACCAGTACGCGACATGGATGGCGTGTGGAGTGTGCGGTCTTCGACTGCGCTACGAGACGAAGGGCAGCCATGGCAAGACTCGAACGGCGGGTCCGACAGTGGCGGTGGTGCAGGAGGCCATGGACGAGTTGGCCCTCGAGTTCCCCACTGGCGAGGTCAACGAGAGGATGTGCTTGGGAAAGATCCGCGAGGTCCAGGGCCGGCGCATGGTGCAGAACGAGAAGGTGACCCTGGAGACGTTCATGGAGAAGAAGGCCGGCTACACAGGACCGAGGGGAATCTCGATGTCTCCTCCGACTTTGTTCCAGTGCAAGGGCGCAACGGCAAAGGCCAGAGCGCTGACACCACCGACATGCGATGCACGACGCAGTGGAAGCCGCTCCTCGGACGCCGCTGTGGCAAAGATGGCTGCTCAGAATGGGAAGTCAACGCTGCAGGAAAGTGTGCCTCGAGCCGAGCTGGAGGAGGCATGGATGACTATTCAGGACCAGGAGAACAAAGTGGCGGCCCTCAAGATGCGTCTGAAGGAAGCCCTTGGCGAAGATGCGGCCAAGGACTCAGACCTGGACGACGCCGAGAACATGAGCACGGTGAGCTGGAAGAAGGCCCCCTGATGGATGCGAACGAAGGTGAGGATGACTCTGGCCAGAGGGGTGTGGAGCGCCACTTTGGAACAGAGCCTGCGGCAACCTCACCGACACAGGGCCTTCAGGAGCGAAGCCGCGGTTTCACAGGTGCTGTTCGGCGCCAGTTGCACGCTGCAGGGGCTACTTACTTTGCGTCCTTGCTTTGCACCACGACCATTCTGCTGAACTCAATAGAACCGGCAAACTTGCTGGAGATCAATGGAGCCCGAGCCAATGGCCATTTTGGAGCTGGCGCGGGCAACTTCGGCATCACCTTCGACGGCTACTACCAGGAGACTGGGTGGAAGGTGGACAAGAAGGATGTGGCGACCACGCTTGTGGCGAAAGTTGCGGAAGCCAAGCCGGCTTTCTTGTGGATAGCGCCAGCAGTCCGAGGGGAATCGTCCTCTTGGGAAGCTGGAGAATCGCCTGGAGCCCGTCGAAACCGACAGAGAGGACAGCGACGCGCTTTGGAGTCAGCCAGAATTCTTTCTGAAGCAGCCTCTAGGAGCATCCATGAAGGCAACGAGATCGCCTGGGAGACTCCTATGGACATGAGCTACTGGAAGGATAGTTTGGCCGAGCAGAACATCAGGAAGGCTGCGACAGCATGTGGTCGACCTCTACATGTTCTAATAGTTGAGGGATGTCATTATCCTAAAACACAAGGGGCACAACATGGACCCCCGGCAGCTTCCGCTGAACCTCCTCCGGCCCGTTGGGAAACCCTGGGGATGGATGTCTTTGAGTATGAGTACAAACGCAATGGGACAAGGACCAAGGCGAAGTTCCTGCTCATGATCGATCGGGCAAGTCGTTTTGTGATGACGCACTTTCTGCATGAGTACCCAGCCGAAGAGGCCTGGGAACCAAGCACAGCTGACATCAAGCGAGCCGTGGTCAAGACATGGATGGCGGCGAACCCGAGCCCAAGGTGGCTGTACACGGATGCGGCAGCTTACTTCACCAGCAGGGAGATGATCGACTTCGCCTCCCGCAGCGGCCTAGGGCTGATGACAGCGCCCGCTGAAGCTCACTACTTGATGGGCGTCGAAGAGCGAGCAATTCAAGTGATGAAGCGGACGGTGGAGAAGCTGGAGCTGGAAGAGCTCAACTTGGACATTGGAGCTCTTTTTACCTTGGCTGCACATGGCCACAACTCCTTTGTGCACTCGGCGACAGGATATAGTCCATTTCAGTGGGCGAGAGGATGGCAAGGCCAGTGCAGAGATATCAGGCCGGTGATTTGTGCATGCTGTGGCGTGCTCGCATGAATCGTCAACGAGGTGGATGGACTGGTCCGCTTCGAGTGCTTTTGCAAGAAGGCACCACTGTTTGGCTAGCCACCGGAACCACACTCGTTAGAGCCAAGCTGAACCAAGTTAGGCCAACCACAGAACGCGAGAAGCTCGTTTCCTCTACCCAAGGAACCACCGTGTACCAGAACGCAGTCGGGCTGGAGATTCTTCTTCGTGGATACCGAGGCAAGCATTTCCTGGATGCCACCTCAGAGAACCCCGGCTTGGAGATTGAGGAAGATCTGAGTCCTGCCGACCGCCTGGTGGAGCCCGAGGCTCCTCGTGTTGGAGGAGAAAAGGACCGTTGGGTGGTCACTGAGACGATGGTGATTCGCAAACATCTGGTTCCTAGGTTGTCCTTGTTCACTCCTGATCGCACCAAAGACTGCCCGGTGCCGGATGTAGGTCTGTCTGGGAGGAGAAGAACGGTCCTACAGAGGCCCGGAGGTGCCAATATCGTCCTCGACAACTACAAGACTGAAGAGAGACCACGCCGGTCCCTGATGGAGCGATGGTGCGGCGAAACTCAGTTCGAGCGAGCTGGGCGGACGCTGCCGGAAGAAATTGAGCAAAGAGCCCCGCAACAACGAGGTTCCCTTCCAGAAGTAAGAGAGCCACGTCCTGAACAACCAAGTTCTCCTCCAGAACAACGAGGTCCTGCAGCCGGCGCACGGCGAGGCTTAGAAGCCTCATCCTCTTCGGTGTCTGGCCCCCCTGTGAAGAAAGAGCGGCGCAGCGAGTTGCCGCCCGACCAGGATATGGCTGAGATCCCAGTGCCGCAACCTGCGCTGAGGTCCCAAGTCCTAGGCGAGGAGGCGCCTGAGGCCGAGCCGGAAACTCCGGTTCCTCCTCAAGGTACATTTCAAGGAGTTCTACCCGCGCAACCAGACTTCCTGGAAGAGGAGCATGCTAGCGCGGCCCCGTACTCCACCACCGACGAGGAGAGCAGCGACGAGGAGCTACGACCAGACGTTCCTCAAACAGAGCAAGCCCACTATTCGGTGCCGCCTGAGAAGTATGCGTGCTACGCTTGTGAGATTAGCCTCACTGAGCGGGACCTCAAGAAAATCACGAAACGGCCTCGAAGAGCTACCGCTTGGTTATCGCAAAAGATGATGGAAAAGAGCAGAGAAGTACACTGGAGGTCGTTGACGCAACCTCAGAAGGAGGAGTACGACGAAGCCATGTCCATAGAGGTGAGCAACGTAATCCGCGAGCGAGCTGCCAGAGCTTTGACAGCCCAGGAGATCTGCGACCTGGACTACAACAAGATAATGAACATGAGGTGGGTCTTGACAAGAAAGGCGAGTGGTGCTCCAAAAGCCAGGTTGGTGGTTTTGGGGTATCAGGCCCACAACTTGCTGGAGGTCGAGACAGCAGCACCGACATTGTCTCGTACTGGCAGGAACATGCTGCTCACTGCGGCGGCAAACAGTGGCATGATCCTGGAAACTGGAGACGTCACATCGGCGTTTCTTCAAACCTTCGAAAGCCTGGAGAAGGAAAACTTGGTGGTCTGGGCGCCAATTGAATTGGCGGCCATGTTTGGAGCAGATCCAGCAGATAGCGGAATGGCAATGAAGCTGACGAAGGCCTTCTATGGCTTAGCGCACGCGCCACGAAAGTGGCACGAAACGGTTCTGAAAGCGCTCCGGGAGACCGGATGGCAACAACTTCGTGCAGATCGTTGTTTGTTTGCCTTGCGGGACGGCTCAGGCCGACTGTGCGCGCTGGCAGGCCTGCACGTCGACGATTTTCTCCTGGCAGGGCTTCCTGGCAACAAGCTGTACCTGGACTCGAAGAAAGCGTTGCAGGAGCGCTTCCGGTTTGGAAAATGGGAGCAGGCGACTGGAGAAGGCTTCACCTTTGCAGGCTGTCGTGTCAGACAGACGGAGGCTGGCATTCAGCTGGATCAGGAAGAGTACGTCAACGACTGGGTGCAGGAGATCCCGCTAGACCACCAGAGAGCCAAGCAACTTAAGTCTAAGGCGACTCCCAAAGAAATTGGCGACCTTCGAGCAGCTCTTGGGACTCTGTCGTGGAAGGCCTCGCAGACTGGTCCACAGTTTCAGGCGGAAGTGTCGCTGAAGTTGAGCGAGGTGCCCATGGCCACGGTGAACACCCTGGTCAGTGTCAACAAGCTGGTGCGGGAAGTTCGTCGAACAGCTTCTCAGAGGATTCTGTTCCCATGCTGGGGACAGCCATGGCAGTCCATCAGTGCAATGGTGTGGGCCGACGCTAGCCAGGCTAATCGTCCGAACAAATCCTCGACAGTGGCTTTCGTTGGCTGCATGGGTCCACGGGCGATCCTGGAAGGCGAGGAGGTGTCGCTGGCGCTGGTGGCGTGGCGCAGCTCTAAGTGCCCGCGTGAGAGTCTAGGCTCCAACGGCAGTGAAGTCCAAGCGATTACCATAGGCGAAGATGAAGTGTTTCTCTTGCGAGCCATGTGGTATGAAATCCACGGTGGCGAGATTTCGAGATACACGCTTGCCGAAGAGCTGAAGCAGCACACTTCGGGAGGCCTAGTGATGGATAGCAAGGGCATTTTTGATGCCATGACAAGAAATGTATCGGCCTTGCATGGCCTGCGATCCTCGAGGGCGGGTTTTGAACTTACTGTATCGGTTCAACAAGCGGTTGCCTTAGGGACCCAGCTTAGGTGGGTTAACGGGACTGCTCAGTTAGCCGATGGTTTGACTAAGGACAATGCGGGGGCCCGTAGGGGTTTCTTAGAGTTCTTAGCTAGAGGTCAACGGTGGAGTGTGGTTCATGACCCGTCTTTCACAGCAGGCAAGAAACTGACGAAGCGACAGTTACAGCAGAAGCTTAAGGATCAAGAGAACTTCTTCGTCGGTGCCTTGAAGGCATTTGCCGCTTCTTCTCATTATCCCTGGTTCGATTTAGATCCTATGCCGTACGATGATATTGAGCCCAGAAACCTCAAAGAAGTATTAGGGATATGAGTTGGAAGCATGACACACGTTTCACATGAGGTTCTGAGCTTGTGCAGGACTGAACTCTGTCTGCAGGGTGGGATTTCTCGAGCCACGCAGGAAAAGATAGGGAGCGAGGCCTGTGGGCCTGCTGATGTTGTGGCACACTGCTACTTTCAATGTGCCTCCAACGCTCTGCCTGGCCTGCTCGGCTGTGCCTCGGTTGTGCTGCAATCAAGCGGAACCCTGATTAAGCGATGTCAGCCACCGGAAAGCCCTTCCCACTCGGCCGAGAAGAGGGGAGAACGGCAAGGTCATGGTTGCATGTTGGCAAAGGTATTGGACGTGCTTCTGATGCGAGTTCTCATGTTTCCTTGCGGGCGCATTGTGTCGACGGGACACTGGGTCAGAGATAGATTGTGCAGCGGTGGGTTGACTCGAGGCATATTCCTTGTTGCAAAGTGTAGTGGATGGTCTTGAAGGAGGCCGCTTCTGACTTCTGCAGAGATTCGGGTGATCAATGGCCTGTAGTGCATCTTAGTTCGAAAGAGGGGAAAGGGATACATGTGGGAGGCATCAGCAAAGCCAAAACACAAAGCATTGCACAATGCAGCTGCAGATGAAGGAGGGAGGTGTTTGCAACCCGACGTGAGTGGAACAAACGCGCGGAAAGGCAAAACTCAGCACCGCCCAACACCGAAACTTCACAGGCTAGCAAACCCAAGCAGGGACCTTGTAAGCCTCGCTGGTCGGCACACCGAACGCTTGAAATTCATGCTCTCGACAACTACAATCGGGTCGCGTCTGGTCGGCGGCCGGCAACAGCCGCGCCACCGTATACGGGAGACACACTCGGCCCAGTTCTGGCAATGGGCATCGAAAAAAGGGTGCCCAAGGTGCGCGCAGGAACAAACGTTGGCAGATTGATGATGGTTCATGCTTTCTCAGGTGCAGTGTATTGGAACGTGTGGGTTCCATGGCTAGACATTGCTGAGCTTCGATCTACTCTAGACTCACGACTTCACTAAGGAAAGAGAAGCAATCAAAGCTGTCAAAGTTGGATGATTCTGTGTTGACAGTGGACAGCCTCAAGGCCTGAGATATCCAATTCTGTCCAATTGGTAAGGCCACGGCAGCGCAATGCAGCACAGGCAAAGACTGATGAATTGGTCAAGTTGGCAGATTCAATCCTAGGGCAAGGCCGGTGTCACACGGTGTGTCTTGCTTTGGGCAGGGAAGTCTAGTTGAGGCGAATCCACTACGCCGGCAGCAAACGGCAAATCTGCGCTTGATGTTGACTGATGTGGATGCGCGAGAAAAGTTTTGGTTCAGCAAATCGTGGTTTGGTTTGTCTGTGACAATCACTCCTACGATGCAGTGTTAAAGCCAACAGTTTCTGGGCCCTTTGCTCCAATTTGTTGCTGCCGCATCTCAAGTTTTGCTTTGAGCGTTTGTCCCACTCGCTGCACCACGCTACCTGCTTGCACTGCAAGCAGCTCTGAGACCCACAGCCTTGTAGGTCAAGAGGAAATGTTTGTAGTCACGTAGCTTCAAATCAGGTTTAGGGTTTAGGGTTTAGGGTGGGGATTCAAGCGATGGCCTGCTGATGTCCGTCTTCGCTGCGAAAGACGCCAACAAAATGAATGGTGGCACTTTTGCACGAAGGGTGCCCGAACAAGTAGTAATTTTGTATCAGATTTGCTAGTCCTCTACGTCCGAGAGGTCGCGAAGTGCTCCCACGGTCTACCCGCAACACCGGTCGTCTACCAACCGCGGACCTTGTTGTTGCACAGCGTGAACCATTGCCGGCCGTGTATTTCGCATGTTCAAGTGGGCTCAAAAGATATGCGAGTGCCAACATGTACGTTGGACGTGCATGCAGCGCAAGAGAGTGAACGTAGGGAAATCAAGGCTGAGGTCTTAGAGTAGTTCGATTCTGCGGTGGCTAGGGCGAAAAGTGTTGATGATCAGTATGGGTAACGGTGATGAGGCTTTGTTGTAAGGCAGGGTGATGACAGCTTGTAGAGCCTTCGGGTTTAGGATGGCTACGGTTGAGGGTTGGTGCAGTTTGTCGTGAAGGTTGCAGCCTTGCCGCCCATGGAAGAAGCATGGCAGTGACCCGTTGCAATAACCGTCACAGTCATTTTTTGGCTGGGGCTATTTCTAGACAATATGTAAAAGCAAATGGCTTTTCGCATAAATCTCAAGGCTAAAACTGCTTCCGGCGACCCCGGAAAGGCCGCCAGATGCAACGTGCAGCAGGGGTGACGCAATGTAAGCAGACGGCGTAACTAAATCTCTGGAACGGCAGCTAGATGCTTCGGCAGCACAGCGTTGATGGCATGGATGCTCGAGCTTCCCATTGCCCCCACCTCCTGTAGCAAGATGGCACACCAGCAAACGGGTGCACAGTGCACAGCGGAGGCCCCGTTGTTTCTCAGATCTACAGAAAAAGTCTGCTGCTGCCAACTTGTTGAACGAAGATCAAACTGGCGGGGCAAACCTTTTCTGAGGTTCCACGATATGGAAAAGTCAAAAACCCAGTGGTTCTGGGACAGCCTCGTGGAAATTATGAAGAAACTGGCAGGGACAACTTTTCCATCCTCAGGCCAAGAAAAGTTGGCAGGCGTGGGTCGAGCCTTGAAAATCGAGAAGACCTATCAGCAACTTGGTGCCTGACAAAGGGAAGCGAAGAAATCGATGGGCCAACGAGTTGGTTCCAAACATTTTCGCATCATAAACAACCATGACAGTAGGGCAAGGACGTCGTTTGCACTTTGTGTTCTCAGCGAATACGGTCCATGGGAAGGTTTTAGCGATGAGAGCGGCCTCTTCCGCCCATAATGTTTTTCAAATTGCATCCGTCGTACATTTTCAGTTCAGGCACATGAGCTGGCTCGTCATACGATCCCGCCGGCAATCCATCACGAGGCGCCTGCAGTCAACCACAAGCGTTAGATTTCAGAGGCCGCTTCTGTAGAGGCTGACCTCGTTGACTCATCCCGCTCTGCCCACTTGGGATCTCGTAGTACAGAGGCCTGGATGGGATCACGACACAGGCAGATACTGTTCCAGTATATATGTGCGGTAGGTCTCGGAGTTTTGTATTGACAGTGACAACTTGGTACTGACACGAGCAACGAGGCAAATCTTGGAGAATGTTCCCTCTGTGGGAAACCGTTGGAGGCAAAGCGCAGCACTACGACATGTCACGATGCTCCGAGTCACAGACCCTGGCTGTACGGAACAAGCACGTATCAGGCAGCAAACCTAAAGCCTTAGCTTGACCTTGATATGTTGTGGACACAGGCGATGCGCAACGTGAAGACATTGCCATGTCGGCTGCAAAGATGCTGGAGCATGCACAGAACTTTCTCGGAACAGGGGAACGGGGGAACGGCCGGCCTCCCCAAGGTAATCACAGGTTTCATTTCGATTGCATCGATGGCTTTCACAGGCAGAGAGGGAAAGAGAACCAGTGCGTTTGCAAGTCTTGATGCAAGTTCACTCATTTTTCTCTTGTTGTTCACCACACACACTGCACACATACACCTCGCACGCACCTCTATTACGCCCCTGTGTGAACACCTCTTTTGCTCGTGCTTTTCTCCCATCGGAGGCGCAAGCTTCGAGAAGAAGGTGACATGAACCTGCCGTGCTTTACATGCGGCGCTGCTTCGCACAAGCTCCTCTTCTCAACAACGGCGAACAACATGCACAAGACCTCCTTGCGACGTTTGTTTGCTTTGCATATTGCAATCCAGGTCTTGGGGATCTGGTTTCATGCTCAAGATGTACAGCTTTCAACTTGCGAGGTCTATCGCTGCACTTGTAGAGGAGAGGCGACAACAAAAAGAACAGGCCATCGGAGCTGCACCTGCACCACCATTTCCAAAGATGTGTTGGTAAAGCTTTCGCTTGTCCGCCGTGGCACAGAGAACTCCAGTACAATCATGTTGCCATCGGCAACCGAGTTCCTTCAGACAGATCGGGCAAGGGCGCAAAGGGACACAAAGAGCAGCCATCAACTACAACGCACGTTACCTCGGATTCGTAATTTGGAGGGCCAGATTGCATGGCGTTGGACTCAGAGCCTCGCCAGAGCGATGTGACAAATGCGCCGTAGCCACGCCACGAGCAGGCTGTGAACTTGTTCTTGATAACATTCACAGTGACACATGCACTGCGACGTTGCCCGAACCGTGGCCCCGGCGGGTATGGAGTTGATGGACGCTTGAAGCCATCATAGCAAGTGTTGATCTGTGTTGCGCAGGCTGCAAGTGCAATCAGAAGGCCAGGCTGCGTGGCTTTTGTGTTGCTGGTCGTCGCCTATCGTAGCTTCTATCTGCAATTTGCACGACGGGTTTCCAGAATGAAGCCAGTTCACGGTAGGGTCTCAATGCTTGGCAAGCACGCCACATCAGCCAGCACACTGGTGCAATAATGACAACGACCACACATGAGAATTGCCGCGACTGGTAGCTTTTTTGCTTGGTGGTCACAAAATGTTTCGTTCAGGGAAGAGAACGAAATCAAGCCGCGTTCTCAGCGCGGAGGCGCCTTCGCAGAGCAAAGTACTTCGAGAAGCCTTCGAGAGCCAACTGTTGCCGTTAAAGTGCTCTTTGTGCCGTGTGAGCCGTGTGGGCCGGGCAGGAGGAGCACTGGCAGCACTGGCAAAGGCATCACTGGCAGAACAGAAAGATGGCTCGATTTGGGATTGCAGCATCAGAATTTGCAATCTTCAGTGTTGGATGTGTTGTTATCGAATGCGGCCTGGAGCGGGTAGGGGTTCTTTTTTGTTTTTTGTTTTGGTAGTTTGTTTGGTTTTCTAAGCCCTAAACCCTAAACCCTAAACCCTAAACTCTAAACCCTAAACCCTAACCCCTAAGCCCTAAAGCCCTAAAGCCCTAAAGCCCTAAAGCCCTAAAGCCCTAAAGCCCTGAAGCCCTAAAACCCTAAACCCTAAACCCCTAAAACCCTAAAACTAAAACCCTAAATCCCTAAAACCCTCAAATCCTAAAACCCTAAGACCCCAAAACCCCAAAACCCTAAAACCCTAAAGCCCTAAAACCCTAAAACCCTAAAAACCCTAAAACCCTAAAACCCTAAAACCCTAAATCCCTAAAACCCTCAAACCCTCAAACCCTTAGACCCTAAAACCCTAAAAACCCTAAAAACCCTAAAACCCTAAAAACCCTAAAAACCCTAAACCCCTAAAACCCTAAAAACCCGACCTCAAACCCTAAAACCCGAAAACCTAAAACCCTAAAACCCTAAACCCTAAACACTAAACCCTAAGCCCAAGACATACCCAAACCCGAACCCTAATCCCAAAAACCCTAGACGCTAACCCTAAACCCTAAACACTAAGCCTAATCCCAAAAGCATACCAAAAAAAAACAAAAAGAATTCCCAAAAACAGTCTGGCTCCGCCTGGAGCTATCTTGAGCCTTACCGGTTGGGATCGACCAAGACTAAAACGCAAAACACACAAAAGTCAGCATGCTGCGGCCCCATTCTGAGCAAAGATAGCCGCTAGAGAAGGGCTGTAATTGCGAAATGTCTCGAGCATCCCTGCAACATACTGATCCGACTCATTGCTGGCAATGGCAGAGCCGCCGTGCAAGCGCCCCTGTACCGTGGATGGCGTCACCGATTTCGTGAAAGGGCAGCGCGATTTCAGCCCACAGATGAAGGACAGTCAAGCCATTTGCGCAGACTTCACGAGCCAGAACAAGCTGTACACCAATGGCGTTGTTGCCAAGCATCTTGGCTACACCTTGAGGGACTTGAGGGTGCAAGCTACACCAGAGTGTGGGTGACGTGTTCAGGTGCTCTTTCAAGTGGTTGGCGTGTAGTCTGCACCACCAAGTGCTCTCTAAGTCTTAAGGCTCCTAGCTCATGACAAAGTTCGTTGTTCGGACCTTCGCTAGGGCCGCTAGGGCATCCATTTTCCGGGTGTTAGCAGCAGGTGAAGCGACGTGACTTTGTCATGGTAATCTTGAAGCCTTCTTGTCGAGGCAGTTCGGTTGAACTACCTTTCAACCTTGTGCAGTTGAGGAACAATTGGAGACAAATCCGTGGTCCTCTTACTGGAGAGATGGTGCGCATCCCTGATGTTAATTCTGGTTACCCAAAGGGCGTTTACCCTACCAAGTGGCAGGACGGCCATGCTTTGGGAGTAGCCCTGTTTGAGCATCCTTGAGCATGGTTGAGCATGCTTCCTGCGACCTATTCCGGGCTTGAACTTGCCAGACCTGGCATGTTTTGAGCGTATTGCTCAGATCCGAAATCAGGACGGTCAGGTCTTGCCGGTCGCGGTGGAAAGCTTCGATCTTGGGGATGGCTTCCCAGATCAGAACGAATTTGTCATGAAGTTTGGTGTATTTCGTCAGAAGATTTCATGCTTTCAAAAGTTCTGGTATGCCAGATCTATCTGAAACCGAGCTGTTGTGCCGCACAAAAAGATGCATGTACAACATCCTAAACTGTCTTAATATGAATATAAACGTACATGCAAGTGTAAGTAAAACATAAACATGAATGTACATACAACTACACATGTGATTAGACTATATGTATTCAGCTAAATTCAAAAAAAACAAATGATAACTATAGTGTATGTAAATGTCTGATATGCGAGCGAGTCGGCTGTAGGTCATCATCCCGTCCACGAACACGACCGTGGAGTACGATTTCTGGAGAATGGTTATGCAAAATCATGAAGCTTGCAAGGCTTTGACCTGCCACTTTCCTTTTGAACTTTTCTAACACAGCATTCGCCTGTGACATTCTGTGACTCTCCTGTTCTTAGTAGTCGTGAATCGTTGAGAGTCGTGTTCTCCAGCACGCTGGCCCTCCTTCCACTCTTGGGCGACAGGGCATCGGGTTTCACATGTCCGGGATCCTTATTGATAGCCCCAAGCTGGCAACTGATGACGACATGCTGCATTTCCTGCAGCTGTAGCTGGGCTGCATTGCGCAAGCCGCGCTCATAGCTAGGCTCACTAGTTGCACTCGGCAAAGTTTCCTCTGAGGTTCCGCAAGCAGATATTCACAACTGCCGATCGGTTGATGACATCGGAGCCGCAGTACATCATCATGGGTAGCTCGGGCAAAGGGAACTGTTCACTACAAAGCGGGATGCCGATCGCGGATGGTAATGTTAGCGCTGCGCGACCTGCCTCGGCCAGCGTCGAACATTTAGCATCTGGCCGGATCCACAACGGTGCATTCATCATGCAAAGGTCTCCAACATCTCCAGGGGCTAAGGTCTAGAGCTGGAACATGCTGAACCTGATAGATTTACGCAAAGATGTTTTGCCAACACCTGGGTCTTCATCTACAGCCCACTTTCGGGCTACGAAAGCCTAAGCGCTGCTTCTTTGCAGAAGCCGACATGCCGAATCAACATGACGTTATGGTTTCAGCATCTAGCGATCTAGTACGTCCATTCCCCACAACAACACGAGCACCTGAACCCATGCCGAACTCTCTCTGCATAAGTTGTGTGAAGGAAAAAGGAAAAAAAGAGCCCATGAGTGGACTCAGGCGGGCAGAGGGGTCCAAATACGCCCGGTTTATGGGAAGTGCAGGGTCGTCCAGAACGCGCACGACGTCCATGGGCGTGCATAATGCATGGCGGGGTTCGGACATTCCCATATCTGGCAGGCCTTGTAGCCGAACTCAACACCCCTGCATCGATTTGTCCGCAAGACGATGAGCTGAGGCTCTTAGGCGCTTGCAGTAGGGGGTGGTCCATAGAGGAATCCACCGTCAGGTAGGTTCATGGCAATTCCCTGAAAAGACATCCATACACATCATGGAGACGTAGCTCATCAATGGGTCCGTACGGGAAGGAGGTCTATGGTAGCAGGGTCCGTAGGACATGTTCTGGACTCGGGCTCCCGACTTGCAGTCGGTCAAATCGCTCGTTTTGGATGCGGACGTTGTTGTGGCGTGCCGTTTGTGAATGAGAACCCAAAACCGCATCGATGCCACCTCCCACCCAACAACAACGAAAAACAGGTTTACTGCAAGCAAATGGCTTGCGGGCCAAACCCGCACGCGTTCTGTTGGACATGAAAAATTACCCTTTCGAGCTGAGGGCTTGGAGTAGAATGACTCGACACAGAATACTCCACTGAAACTCAAGACAAGTTCCTGGAACAGGTATGTCGTTGGAGACCTTCTTTGGTGGCTGGGAAGGCAACAAGGCCTGCATTCAGGGCCAGTGTACGTTGGTGAGTGTGAAGTCTTTCTGCGTAGCAGGAGTTCAAAAGAGAACTGGGCGAGCGGACGGGTCTGAACATAGCCACTGGCGCTGAGGCTTGCAAGGCCACAGTGGTTTGTGAGGAAATCAATCTTTGGGAATTTCTCCCTGTCCGATCTTCTGATATTTTTAATGCTTGGTGAATCCTCTGAGAAACTGTCTCGCTCCGATTCGCTTATAACTGCGGAGTTTCGGCGGGAGGGAATCAAGGGGACGGCCGACTGCATAATCTCCATCTCCATACCACAAGCAAAGGCCTTACGTCCCCGAATTTTAGGGCCTGCAAACCCTCACAAATCCCATGGCCACTGAATACCGGGCTTGCAAAGCCCTTGCAAATACCTTGCGAATACTATGCTCCGGAATTCTGTAACTGCTTCGTAAGTACATGGTTGTTACATGTTGCTACAAAGTCTTCGCAAACCATGGTCCCCGAATTCGGCGTTTGCAGAATCCGTATGAACGCATGGTCCCGGAATCCGATGCCGATTTCGGTCGTAGACTGTCGTCCCCGACTTCGGCGGTTTCCGAATTCAACCCTCGCAAGTTCCGGCCTTTCGGAGGCCTGCCGGCCTTCCCAGGCTGTCAAGATTCGGTGTGGCCACAGCATGCCACAGCTATAGAGAGCAAACCGCCTTCCAGAGTCTTTGAAAATTCCACAACTAGAGTTGCGGATGTTGCGGTGATGCTGTGCTTCCGAATGGACACGTGCCCATCTGCGTGTCATGGACACTCCAGTCTGTGTCAACTAAGTACCTCCAGTCCTCTACATTTGTCGCCAAGTTCGTATCATTTTCTATCGTATACTGTCAAAAGGTAGGACAGGGTCCAGGTAGGCCACATGTTGGATCTGAAGCCCAGACTTTATGCCTTTTTTGCTGTTCAGCACTCTCTTGCACATAGAGGAGGATTCTCAAAATTAGGGTACTTTTCCCGGATTTTGTTGGGAATATGCAGGGCATGTACAGGATGTTTTGGGATTGGGCTTCTGAGAAAAATGCGGGTGCCTTTCTTGGGTCCCTATAAGAAGGATTCAAAGGGCGACTCTACTTGACAAATGACCCTAAACAGTCTTTCACCAGTCCCCGGTCCAATCAATGCCTGAACTCGACACCCTTCATCATGTGAAGAAAATGCTCGCTCGAAGGACGGATATAAGGTGGTTTTTCATGTCTTTCTAAAACGTTGCAAGTTTGCAGTTTAGGATTGAAGGGAGGACACTACACACAACCTCAGTCGGAATGGTTTTTCGAATCATGTATCTTGGTGCCGAGTAGGATGAACAGCCGATGATTGAACATGGTGCACAAGACTGAGCAGACTGGGCACACGCCCTTGATGCTTGTTGCTTGTTGGTTTGGCTCGATCCTTCTCAGATTGTCCAATGCGAGTTCTGAGCAGGCATCTCTCGAAAAGTTCGGAGCCAAACGCATCACTGCAGGGCACTGAGTCTGATCGGGATGTTTTTCCACCCTGATACACCGAGCACGAACTCTGCCAAATCAGGTCATCACGCCCTATCAGGAAATAGGCCTGACACACCACTTTTGAGTCTTTTGAGTGCGCTTGTGGGGCTGTACATTGTTGTTGTAAATCGACGAGCCTTTCGGCGGCTTGCAACCGTGCTTTCAAAACACGTAGTATGGACATGCGACCATGGAGCCCTGAAGGTGATCGCAATGTGGTGAAGTTTTTTACAGAAATTGGCTTTGAAGTTGTTCGAATTGCCGGGTTAAAATGCGGATCAGCTCCTCAACAGCATTTTCAAGCAGATTCTGGAGACTTGCTTGTTTGGGTCTTCAGTGCGAGTCGGTGTGTGATAGTTACAGTGGCGTCGTGACGACCGCTTGGCATGATCGCGTCTGGAGCGGACAACTGTAGTTCCCGAGTCATGATGGGAAAACATCTAGACCTTAAAACGCCCAAGGGTCCTGCAGAACACCCAGTGCACCAGTCTTCAAGAGTAGAAAGTAAGGTCTCTCTAAGGAGCTCAAGGATCTCAAGGAAATAAGGAGGAATGAGACAGAGGGAGATGGAGGAGTTTGAGAGAGTGTTGAGAGTGACAAGTTTGAAAACACTTCGCCGACATGCCTAAAATGCGCGTCGACATGCCAAAAACACGAGTGGTGCGCCAACATGTCGAAATCACGCGCCGGCATGCCAAAATGCGCGCCGACTTGTCAAAGCCGATCCCGCAGAGAGAATGTCTCGGTGTGCCTTTTTCCATCTCGGGGCAGCGTTTTGTCATGTCGGCGCGCGTAATCCCCATTGGCGAAGTCCGGCTGCTCAAGTGCCACGTCTTCCTCTTGCTTCGTCACTAGTTTCGCAAGCCTTCCTGTTCAGAGTATCCGTCGAAGCTGATACCTGATGTTGATACCAGGCTACTGTGTTTTTGGTAGGGCATACTGGACTGCAGGGTTGTGACCAAAAAGCAACGCGCACGCCATGTGATGGTCGGATACGTCCCCTGAGTTGGCCCTCCTCGAGGGGGAGTTACATAGTATGGCTTTTGCTCACACCGGGCACTTAGCTGCTGCAATGTACTGCAGCTGAGGCAACCGACATTGCTCATGTGCTTTAGACTTACTGGGACTTTCTGCTTGTGCATCGTGCAAATGGTGCAAGTTGTGCCAATTGTGCAAATGGTGCAAGTTTGCATGTATTTGCTCTGCTTTCTCAGTTCGAGGCCTGAGGCATGGTGTGAGAAAGTTCTTCGAGAAAACCTTCTCCTACCCGACATAGTGCCTCGGATCATCTTGACATTGCAGGTTGTTGCCCGTCGGTCATCCCATGTCGGGTCGTCGCCGACGCAGTTGAGAGGGTTCTAACTGGCGCTGCACAGTCCGCAGCAGAGTGCTCAGGATGCAATTGTACAATGCGGCACGAACTTGTCGTTCGTCAATCTGGCAGACAAACTTGAGCGCGAAGTTGGGATTCCCATCATTGCAATCAATGCAGCTTGGCAGCAGTTCCTGCACATGTGTCAGACGCAAGCCCACGTGCAACTTATTGAATGCTGTTGATTTCCTGCAGGTTGCCTGTCTGTGGTTTGCCATGCGAGAGGCCGGCAGTGCAGAGGTTGATAGGAACATCGACGTTAGCGGTATTGTTCCTTAGCCTGTAGCCTTCAGCCTTCAGCCTTCAGCCACCCAAGATGGCGAAATCCGAAGATCAAGTAGTCTTGAGTGACAGCTTTGCCGTGCAGCGCAGTTCCATCGTAGGCACCTACTTCCTACATTACCAACAATATCCCAAATATTCCCAAATCAAAGAGAACTCATAAGAATTCCGTACCTCCCAGTGCCTTTCAGTGCCTTCGCCCTCAAGGTTGGAATTGACGCGAAGCTTCAGGGCTGCACACGCTTGTTCCGTGAGCATTGACTGGATGAGCGGTGCAAAAAAAGTCTCGCAGGGAATATTCTGCTGCTGTTGCTGCAGTATCAGCCGTGAGTGCACCCTCTAGAACTGTAGAAGTGTAGAACTCTAGAACTGTAGAATGGTCGTGAAGATTAGGAAGCCAGGCAAGGGCGGTAAGGGGATGCTTCTGATTCTTCAGCATGGTCATGGACTGGCCCAAGCTTAGCAGAAGATGTCAAAGGACCCACTTGTCGGTTCTCTCGTCCAGCACCTGCTTCATGGAGCATCTGGTCATCCCAATTGCAAGAATCCAAGCAGGATAGGACGAAGATTCCGGCAGATTCAGCCACGGTGCTGGCTTCTGCTAGCCAGGTTGCTTTCAATGCGTCTGGGCTTGCACTTCCCAGCTGCATGATTCAGGCTTCCACCACGGCTGCCGGCAGCCCTGGCCCGTAGTTAGCTATGCTTCCTTCGGTACTTGCTCTCTTCAGAGCAGTTCCAAGGTCGGTCAGATTGTCCCATGAGCTGAGTGATAAGCATTTTTTGCATTGCTCTCGCTGCACCAGGCGACCCAACGGATGCCACATTGCAAGGTTTCTGCTTGTAGGGTTGGGGCTCACTGATCTGGCAAGCTCTAGGTCCAGCTTGGCTGGCTAGCTAGGTCAGACAAGCAGGTGCGTTTCCCTTCCCTGAAATTTCGCAGCCAAACTGAATCGTGGCGCCATCTCTGGCGAAACTCGTAGCTTTCATAAGTCTGTCGCCTGTGCCAATCACCAGCAGGCACCCTGCCTCTTGGTTTCTGTCACGCCACCTTCTTGACAAACGTCCAGCACAAATCTTGACGGATCCGCACTCCAATTCCTGGGCGTAGTCCCGTTGCACCTAAGCCCCAAGTCCTGCTGCCATCTGCGGTCTTTCGGTCTTTCTCGTTGAGCACTCGGCACTGGCGTGAACAGCTTACAAGGGTTGGCCCTCGCAGCAAACATGCCCTGCGGAAAACCTTGACCAGGTCTAATTGGCAAAGGTTGGTGCCGACATCAGGCTTTCACAGCTCAGGGCTAGCATCTGTCGGCGACGTGCGGCTAGGTTTGTTTGTGAAGTTGCAGGCTTCTTGCCTGACCACTCGAGTGTGCCCGGGCTGTCCTGGCGAAGTGCCTTGAAGTGCCATGGGATGTGACGCTTCTACTTGTTGAGCTCGGGCCGTGGCAGTCGAAGAGGTGCATGCTGCTGGTTGGCGTCAGAGCTGTGAGAGTGAGGATGGAGATGAAGAGGAGCCTGAAGAGCAGAAACAGGAGAAGCAAAAAAACTGCACAGGGCTTCAGCATACAGAGCACCTATGGTTCGGGTTGAAAATGGTTCGAGAAGCTTCTTGAGGGATTCATTCGGAGGTACTTTCCAGCTGAACAATGAAGTGATTGCTATGGGTTTTGATTTCCAGCATCTTCGAAAGATCGGGCATTTTTTGCGATGCCCTCGCCGCACCACGCGACCCGGCTGATGCCACGCTGCAAGGTTTCTGCTTGTAGGATTCGGGTTCACCGATCTGGCAATCTCTAGGTCCACGGCGGCTTCCTAGCTAGGCCAGACCAGCAGGTGCGCTTCCCTTCCCTCGTGGCGCCATCTCTGGCGAAACTCGTGGATGCCCTGCGGAAAAAGTTGAAAAGGTCTAAGTGGCATAGATTGATGCTGACATCAGGCTTTTCGCAGCTCAAGGCTAGCATCTCTCGGCGACGTGCGGCTAGGTGTTTTTTTTGTGAAGTCGCAGGCTTCTTGCCTGACCAGCTGTCCTGGCGAAGTGCCTTGAAGTGCCACGGGATATGACGCTTCTACTTGCTGAGCTTCGACCGCGGCATAGCCGTAACTTCATGCGCTGTTACTTGCAGCAGCAGCGAGGTTAACTTCACGAGCCAGCCTACGAGTACCGCGACCTAGATCAGATGGAGTGCGTTGGTGCATCTCTTGCCTGAGGCTTCCGAGATGGCTTTGCTTGGCTCGCATAGGGTTTTCTTCACGCGGGAGCCCAATTTTGACGAGTAAGGCAAGTCATGCAAGCCCCAGCATGTCCTCAGTTGCCTGTGACACCATCATTTTTTAAGCATGAACCCCGGCGGCAACAAGAGCATGCCGCGGATGAGTTGTTGCAACGGCCCTCTTTTCATCTATCAGTTGATCAGTTGTTGCTATGCGGCTTGTCCGCGTGCTGTCTCGTGTCGGCTGCACAGATCTCCATTTGACCCCTTGACCAGTGGGTGCTGGCAGTGTCCGTGTTTCCCACTTCGCCCCTGTGACTGTGGACTACATGCCTTGCATGCATCTAGGGCTTCGTCTGAGTCTAAGGCAAGGCTGAAGCAAGTTGACCCCTCAGACGGCTCGCATGACTCCGACTTGTTCTTAGATTCTTAACTGTGAATACTGTCACTTGGTGCGACCTGGTCAATGTAGTAAGCGCTCCCTAAGTGCATCGTTGTTTGCTGATATTCCCCGGGCCAGCAATGCACAGAGCATTCTTTGCCCTTCATGAGCAGCTTTTCTCGCGAGCTGATGTGGGCCGTTGCAAGTTCGCTGAGTTCTCATCACCGTTTAAGGTCGGTGGATTGATGGAACATGCTTCATCGCGCATCAGACTCCACAATGGCTTCGTATGGCTCGGGAGGTCAAGAACAGGAGCCAGCCAAGACAGCACCTGAGTGACTTGCACACTCAGCATTTAGCAAGACCGCTGGGCCATGGCTATCGAGGCCTCGGATGACAGGGTTTGCACATGCTTGCACCCTGAAGAATCTGAGGCGTGACGGATTTAGGAACTGCAAGTTCGTTCGTTCGACTACACCATTACCACCAACGAGAGTACCTTCGGCGCACTGCTGCTTAGCCACTCCTTCGAATCGCTAACACGGCCATCATAAGACCGTGATACTCCGCGATACTGAGCAGCGGCGTGCACACAGCTCACTGAGCTGGCAATCCTGTTCATGATCGCCCTCCACAGACAAGACCTCCTTCCTCCTGCTATGTCATGGGTGTGCACGGACATGCACACACAGTCAAGGCTACGGCGAATCTGGCTGTGAGCTTGCAATCATTGCAATCTCTCACTCTTGGCTGCGCATTCCCAAGAAGGAGGCTCGCGGCTGCAACACGGGCCTTCAACTAGGAAAGCAAGCGCCAAGCAATGCATCGTATGCACTGCGCTTCCACAGGGATATGACTGAGATATTCTCTGAAACTCTTTGAGGAGCTTGTTCCTTGGCAGGCTGCGCGACATGGAGAGTTGAAATGATGGCTGCCACGAGACACTCTGCCATCGTGTGGCACAGCTTGGGTCGCATCGGCAAAGATGTGCAGCTCCAGGGCCTTGTTTTGCCTCTGAAGATCGCCCTGGCCCGTGCAGCAGGCATAGCAGATCATAGCAGGCATAGAAAGCATAGCAGGCATCGCAGCAGCGCAGGCTTGTGCTCCGTCATTCCATCTCATTCCTCAGTGTTGTGATCTTTTCTGTGGCCTGAGCTTGGGCTTTGCCGTAAGGGATTCGCGGCTCCTTCTCAAAGCCGTCCCAGGAGCCACTGCAGGAGTCATTAGATCTGCAAGGTTCTCCTTTTGGCATCAGGGCGGTGCCATGTATGCCATGTGCAACATGTGTTCTTTCAGCACTTTCAGCTCTTTCTCTTTCTACCTTCCGTTGCAAAGTGTGCAGTTTGCATCAGTTTAAAGCCCACCTGAAGTTCCCATCAAAGGGGTGTTGTTTGGGTTGTTTGTGCTGCGAAAGGTTCCCTGGGGTTCGGTCCTCGGTCCCATAGGGTAGGCAAGGCTTTCAGGGTTCTGAGCACAAGAGCCAGTGTGATGTTGACTTGTCGTGGCTGAGCAAAATCCCGATGTTTGATGATGACTGCTCGCTAGACTGCATCTGTTCATCTTCGGGCTCCAGCTTCGGGCCCTCTCTGGCGAATCGAGAAAGCACGGACATGGCACCTCAACCGTGGCCATCGCCCGCAAGAGCCAGTGTACTTCTCAACAGGGTTCGCTGTGCCTTCCAGCCGTTGCTGCGTTCTTCCAGCCGTCTGAAGCTGATGGGGAAGGATTGGGGAGACAGCAAATGTGCCATTGCCGTTGAATTGCCATCTTTGTGCCATCTTTTTTGACCGCTACGCCCGCTTTCTGCCAAGCCATGTCAAACTCTTCGAGGCTGTCGACTCCATCGACGCTATCGACTCTATAGACCGGTCGAAGCGTCGTTGGGCTCGAGCTGTCTGCTCTTGCACTCGGGCTGTTCAGAGTTTTGCACAAAGTGTGTCATAAGTGGCCATGCGCGGGGCCATTTTACTTATTTGGCCGGGTCCTGGATCTTTAGTGGCGACTCCCATCTGTATCATGAGCTTAATCAGCCGAAGACCTTGCCGACCAGACTGTGTCTGATGCTTGCCCTCAAGTAAAACCTACCGACAGCAAGCAAAGAAGTGGCCTTCACAAACACTACGTGCATGACAAGCTCATACTCTTGTCAAGTATATGTACAACTTCCGGTGTCACATTGGCGTTTGCTCCAGTTTTGGCAATGAGGGAGCTGCGGAAGTTGAAGAAGGCTGGTTCCGCTGGATAGGATTCAAAAGGCATCCAGGTTGAGTGCTGCGCAGGCAGCGTGCTCCTTGTGCACAAGGTGAGCCAGGAGGTAACGGGGCAAATTGTTTCCATAAAGAAGAACCACCAAACATTCTGCAAGCTAGGCGAATGGAGGCCTCGCAGGCCTCATGAACCACCAGTGCCCAACTAATTTTACACTCCATACATTCCCACAAGGCCACGTCTCCAGAGCCTGGCCGAGCACGTTGAGCTTGGCGAGTTCTTTATGCTATTCGTCCCTTCCATGCCTGGGTCCAGCGGTTCAGTGCATGGGCTAAAAAGAATAAAGAGATGGGACCATTCGTAAAGCGCGAGCCCTTGTGTCTGTGGGGGCTTTCAGTTTCAAAAAGGCTCAGAGCATCTTGTCGGATGCCCGCCTCTCAAGCAGCATTGGCAGCGCGTAGTATGCTTAGTACAAGAACTTTGCCATGAACCACGCAGCAGCCCTCAGAAATCAGTTGTTCATAGCTCGTCGCAACATGGCCTGTGCGGTCACTTATATAAGTGGTAGGAACTGCACTTGACTCGGACCAAGCCTGCTTCCTTGGGCTCGGCCGAATGAAGTGGCGTTGCGTTTTCAACACCAAACTCCTTCCAGTGAGCTGGAAGTCATTTCAGTGAATTTGATTCAGTTGGACATTGACATTAGACAGTGGAGGAGAGACACTGGCAAAATTTGAATATCCGCCGCCGGACCTGCAAGTCGAATCGTTCGAATCGTTCGAATCGTTCCCCGTAGGGCTTCGGAAATCTCAGAGTTCATCTCAGTTCGGGGGGGCTGTTTGGATGTCAGTCAAAGCTTTGTGCCCGATGTGCCCCCGACATGCCCGATGTCTGCCCCGGTCGAGGGACTCCGGCTTCGCTTCGGCTTCAGTTTGCGTCCTCCCGAAAGCGGTGCGCGCTCATTGGGGGAGAAAGTGCTCGAGACTTCGGAACGACAATGGAGAACCGCTTCAACGGTTTGGCCTTTGCGGCTCGTTTTGCAAGGCCAGCCCCCCTTTGGAAACTTCGGCGTGCCGATAGCTTCTGCCCAACGCGGGTGACAGGCTCGCATGGCTCGCACACCTAGAAAACAATCAAGAGAGTTGTGCTGTTGGTCGCACTTCATGTGGGACATCGTGATGTTGATAGCTGGTGGGGCGCGTGCACCGCACCTCCCGACCTGTTTGTGCAGCTTGCATGCCGGCACGGCCCAATGTGTGGAGCCTGTAGAGGAGGCAGTGCGCCTTGGCAGCCTTTCTGGGCTCCTAGCCTCTACCATGCGCCTGTGCCAAGATGGTGCTGTGATTCTATGTGGGCACAGCTTCGGAGCCACCGTTGCCTATTTCATTGCCGTGCGCTTGACATTCTGCGGTGCAGAACCCCATGGCATTGTTAGCATGGACTGCCGGTCTGGCATCACTATGAATCTTGCTGAATGCCTTCCTCAAGGACTCTGGCAGCCACTCGCCCGACAGCATGTGCGGCTGCGGCTGCCTGAATAGATTATGTGGCTCCGTTGGTCCCACGTGGACACTTGTCAACAAAGACGCTCTTGCAAAAGGCCTGCGTGGTGCCATGGCAGATTTCGCAGCTGTCCCAACGTCATTCATGGCAACTGGCAGACACCGACCATTATGACCTTCCCAACTCAAACGCATGGGACATGTTTTGCTGCATCCAGCGGTGACCCGACGCAGCCGCCGGAAGAAGAGGTTGCCACGAGTGCAGCACTTGTTCAACGGTGCAGCCAGCTCATCTTTACAGCCTGTTCTGCAGGCTGTGCTTGTCAATGTTGATCCATCGGCAGATGCCCTAGTCTCAAACCTTGTGGCGTGAAGCCCTGGGCCCTGAGCAGCTCAAGCCTAAGACGCCCGTGCATAGAGCGCTGAGACGCAGCGCGTGCAAATCACATCTGCGTCTACATACAAGTACATATGCAGAGAGACAGTGGATTCCTGCTTTGTGCCAGGGAGCCAGTAGCTTTCCATACTTCTGCTACAGCAATCTACAGCTGTCACGTGCAGAAGCTGATTCTGTGACGCCTCTGGTCGCGTGCGGAGACTTGTCAGGTCTTGCTCTCAAAGGGAATACTTTCGGTGCAGCTGGGCCCCAGCACCATTTCCAGCACTGCACCATGCCCACGACGCCTTGTCCACGCGTCAGAGGGACATGTGCCGCATCTCAAGTGGACTTCGAAGGCGCGGGGGCTGAAGGGCTGTGGAGGGCTGGTGTGTAATGTTGTTGTTGCATGTCAGTAATTGTGCCGGTAATGTTGCACCCGGTTTAGTGAGAGGGGGCACTATTATGCGTTTTTCCGGAAATCTTATAGGGGACCCCCCATTGATTAGGGTGGTCCTCAATTATGCGATGTTTGCCGGCCGGGGTTGAAGGGCGGGGGGCCGGGGAGCCAAAAACTAAAAAAAGTTTTGAATGAGAAGCTCCGGAATTTTTTGGTGTCCAGCCTTATTTAAATTCCTTTTAAAATTTCATTACGAAACAGGCCCCCAAACAATTTTCCAAGGGAGTAGCCCACGAGCTGCCCTGATTCGCTTTAGCAAGTTGTTTCGGTGGTCCGCATTTATGCGGAGCCCCGGCGACCGTGGAGCTGCAAAGCCTGGAAAGCTTAGACCCTCAAGCTTCAAGGCTTCCCCTCAACCCTCGACCCCTAGCCGCCCTACCCCCAGCCCCGTCCCAGCACCAGCCCACCCTATTCAGGATCCCCGAAAACCCCAAAATTGTTTGGGGGGGGGGGGGGACCCCCCCGTACTAAACCGAGTCCAACATTACAACGTCAGTATGACTTCGGAACTGATTGGTGTTGAGTCAGGCTCGAGACCTGTTTGGTTGTTTGGTAGGCCCAGAGTTTCTGAGATGTGAGCTGACCAGTCTACTCAATGCCAGACGTAAGGGATGCTGCAAGAGCGACGTCTCAATGGGATTTACAAATCGTTGAGGCGTGGGCTGAAGCCTTTATGGCATGAGGCCTCTGCCGCCGGCTCGTGCAGCGGTGTGTCATGACAAGCGACGGCTGCAGGTCATGATTGCAAATAGCATCTGCAAAAATTGTGCAGAGCAACGCGCGGAGATTAAGAAGGATGGAGGAGATGTGAACGTTGTTAATGAAGCTGTGTCTCTCCGTTCTACTGGCAGTCAGAACATTCTCACAACCCGCAAAACGGCCTCCGGTCTGATGAGTGGAGTAGGATTGCATAGTATTATATAGGATTGCTGAGAGTCGTAATGCATCAAGACATGGTCACATTGTCATGCAGTTTTGTGTAGCGAGCAACTCTGTTGTCACGAGACCTCACCTGTGCCAGGTGGATGCAGAGTGATATGACACCGCCAGTTTCTACGGAAGCAAAAGAAGTAGAGTGGCTTGCATGTTCTACAGGTTAGACAGCTCGCATAGCGCCGTTTGATGTTCGAGGACACTAGGACACAGCACAGGGCTCTTTGTGGCAAACGACGGGGACCGATTGGAAGGCGGGCCCCTCAGGGGGAATTAGAAGGGGTTGCGGAGGGGTAGGCCTTCGGACTTTTGCCTCAAACGTCCAAAGCTTTCCATTTCTGAAACGTTCAAATTATCGAACTGTTAAACATCGACTGTCGTCAAACTTCAACGGTCGAGGCTTCAAACCTTCAAACTGGTGGATCTTCAAACGCTGAAATTCCGGACCTCATCGACTTTTCAACTTAAACCCTCAAACTTCCCAACCTTTCTAGCATTCGAGCTCGTAAGTTGTTGAAGCTCCAAACTCGCTGCCCTTTGACCTTTCGAACGACCCTAAACCAAGAGGGGGAGGTAAGGGTCTAGGAGAATTCGTCCCTGCTTGGAGGTTCATGGATGATAATATGTAATGTTGTGAAGCTGGAAAGTATTCAGTTCTTCCCATCGTTTTTGCTCCGTTAAACCAGATCCCAACCAGTAACACGCTCCGCTTGCATCAGAACTGACAGCGTGCCACGGGTGTCCCCAGTCCCAATAACACGGCATTTTGCTACGACACTCCCAGGTTGGGGATTCGCTGTTTCTATTGACCCTTAAACCAACAGGCAGTTCTCTCTCTCTCTCTCTCTCTCTTGCTCTTGCTCTCTCTGTTGTCCTTTCTTGCTCGTATTCTTTGTTCACTCTTTGCTTTTTGCTCTTTCTTCGTCTGTCTCGCCCTGCCTCCCTCTCTCCCTCCTCTCTCTCTCTCTTGCTGTCTCTGTCTCTCTGGCTCTCTTTCTCACTGTCTCTCTCTGTCTCTCTCTGTCTCTCTCTGTCTCTCTCTCTCTCTCTCTGTCTCTCTGTCTCTCTCTGATCTCTCTGTCTCTCTCTGTCTCTCTCTGTCTCTCTCTGTCTCTCTCTGTCTCCCTCTCTGTCTCTCTGTCTCCCTCTGTCTCCCTCTGTCTCCGTCTGTTTCCCTCTGTCTCTCTGTCCCTCTGTCCCTCTGTCCCTCTGTCTCTCTGTCTCTCTGTCTCTCTGTCTCTCTGTCTCTCTTCCTCTCTGCCTGTGCCGCTGGTTTCTCTGCCTCTCCTCTTCTTATTGTGCGCACTTCAGGATCTGCAAGGGGACCCGGCCGCTCCTCCTGTCCAACCACTTTGTTTCTCGTGTCAAAGTTTTTGTTGCAAGCCAACATGCCCTGGATGTTGATCCCCGCTACCGTGTGGACTTTCAATGACTTTCAGACCCTTTTGTGCATGATCTTTTTGGACTGTAGACTGCGGCCCCCTTTTCTGGCGGCCCCTCTCGCTCGCAGTTCCGACTCGTCTTTGCTTCTCTGACTCTCTCTCTCTCTACATCTCCTCCGTTAGCTCTGGCATTCTCTGGTGCTCTCGCTCTCCCTCTCCCTCTCCCTCTCCCTCTCCCTCTCCCTCTCCTCTCCCTTCCTCTCCCTCTCCTCTCCCTCTCCCTCTCCCTCCCTCCCCTCTCCCTCTCCCTCTCCCCTCCCTCCTCCCTCTCCCTCTCCCTCTCCCTCTCCCTCTCCCTCTCCCTCTCTCTCCTCTTTCTTCTCCCTTCTCCCTTCTCCCTTCTCCTTTCTCCCTTCTCCCTTCTCCCTTCTCCCTTCTCCCTTATCTTTTCTCTTTCTCTCGGCCTTTCTACGTCTCCGTCTCTCAGTCTCTCGGTCTCTCTGTCTCTCGGTCTCTCAGTCACTCAGTCTCTCGGTCTCTCACTCTCTCTGTCTCTCTGCCTCGCCGTGTCTCTGGCTCTCTCTCTCTCTCCCTCCCTGTCCCTCTCCCTCCCCTCATCCCAAGCATTGTTTTCAACATGTTTTGACTCTGAAAACATTTCCTCCCGTCCGATCCACAACTGAGCGTCCCACCTCGCTTTTCCCAAACGCCATCACAGTATCTCACTTCTCCCACTTTCGGGGATCCAAGTATGTGTGCATGCGAAAATATACAAGCTCCGGCGCGAAAGAACGCACCACATCAGTTCATGGCGGACCGTCTGCGTTCAATTCTTTAGGCAATGTGTACACCTTACCGTGAGCCGGCAGCCTGTAGAATGTTAAAGACATTCCCCAGAACCACCCTTTTGCCCTTTTGCTCAGTTCCTCACCCATGCGACATTGGCACGATACCGCGGGCGCATCCCAGCCCACTTTTCTGGTCTGCCCCACCTGATGTACGTTTACTGTGCAAGGACCTTAACGCTGCACTGCGAAATACTTAACAATGGAAAACCCCGGCACCTAATGTTGAGCATTACTGTATAAGTCCTGCTGGGGTGCCAGACTCCTGGTTCGTTTCTGAGCCCTGATCGTTAGAAGCCATCAAAAGAAACAGGAATCCTTTCCACATTGCCGGCCCATCTCTTCGTTTCTGACACAAAAATTTGACACATCTTCTCCATGCCGACAGGAGCATTGCAGCTCGAACAAGACAGTCTGCAGTACTGGGCAAGACTGGTGAATCTACGCATACGTCAGCTCTTGGAACTTGATGGGAGACACGCTTTTTCTCTAGACTCTTGTTTCTACGTTGAGGTGCTTAGTTCCTTCACGATCCTTCAGGGCTATTGACCTGCCATGTCTTTTGTAGGAGTTTCCTTGCGCGATGGGATTTCATGATGGCACCTTGCCGATGACCCTCTTTTGTTGTTAACTGTCAAAGGTTCTGACATCACTTCGAAGGTCTCATTTCATTCTAGCGGACTACGACAAGGGCGCCCGCTCCCTCACTTTTTCTTTCGTACTCACACAGACTCACACACCTCTTCTCAAAAAGTTGAATGTGCTCAGATCCATGGCGCGCTCTCAGGTGTCTTCTATACCCAAACCCACTGTGGGAGCTAGAACATGCTAGAAACTTTCTCCGTCCGCGGCTCCAATCGCCTTTTTCCTGTTACACCTGCAGACACAGGGAAGAGCTCGGGAAATAACCCGCAACAAGGGTGAGCACAACGTCAACCACCAAAGAGGACTTCCTTCCCATGCTCTTGTCTCTGGCGCTCAGGTACTGATCATTGCCCAACAATTGTCACCTTCATGGAGGATCCTGCTGCATCTCTAACATCACATCACAAGGACGTAACTACAGATGCCCCTTGCTCCGAGTACTTAGGACTGGCTTGTTAGCCCCGAATGGAACAGTAACCGCAGTTTTCTCTCAGATCGACACACTGTTGGCCAGAATCCGTCTTACACAAGCACGTCGTCGGTTGGATTATATATATATATATGTATATATATATATATATACATACATATATACTCAGATTCCCACCGCCCTACGTCCGGATAATCCCGGATATTCATAATTAGTTCCATTCCATGCCAGCCACCTTAGAGAATGTAACGCACATGTTCGCTCTTCCTCGGCTTGTTTGATCATACCGCGCTGTGTTGCACGCTCTCTCCAGTGGCACAAGACAGGCAACTGTGGCAAACCTTAGTCAACAAACCTGAGCCTTTTTGTTTTTTTTTCACAGTTTTGAAGCAGTTGAACAGTGTCGATGCCCATGCGCCGCTGGTTTGGACAGCGACGCAGTAAACCAACTCATAGACAGGGAAACAGGGAAACAAGCAAGTTCCTCAGAGCTTTGTTGCGAAGTGTTTCATCAAGCACATGGCGCGACAGCCCATAGCCCGGTTGAAAAAGGGCACTTTCGGCGTATCAATCCCTTGTAGCAAGCAACGAGTTGCCAGTGCCAAATTCTTTTGAGAGGGATTTGTGGGGCTGCGTTGCGTTGCAAACTTGAACTTCGGTTGTTGCTGAGCATGAGTGGAAGGCTGGCCGGCAGCATTCTTGTCGTGTCGCGAAAGCGATGTGTTCCACCATGATGCGCATTTCTGTCAATGCCGGCGTGGAAGCGTGAGTTGTGAAGTTCTGATATGCAGAGCATGCGCATACTCGACACTTAGCCGATTGGCTAAAACCAAAGCAAGGTTTCGAAGTTTCACAACAAGCAGCCTCAACAACTTGCTTTGCCCATGGAGTCTTTGTCCATCTGGCCTGTGAGCAGAGCTTCATGGAAGCATTCACCAGGCCACAGGCTGAGAAAAACCCATCCTGTTTGCAGCTTGTGTTATTGTGGTGAGTATAGCAGTGGCGATAGCATGTGTGGGTGCAGGTCCCAACAGATGTCCGTATGGTAGAACATCAAGCTGTTCGGCTGGCTTGTGGTACAGACCCGGACCCTTTCTTTTATGCGAAGGCAGCTTGGATTCAAAGCTGTCAGTGAGGATGTCCGCAGATCATGGAAGACGTTTTTTGCAACGGTGTGCGGCGGTGTGTGGTTTGATGGCGTTGCGCAGAGTGCAAGGACTGGCAATTGCAGTGCTACAAGCGCGGGCATCTCAACGCGTTTATAAACCCAGGACATTTCTACATGGTTTCGTCTAGAGCCGCGAAGTGTAGGCTTGCATCGCCAGGCTGCCAGACCAGCTAGACCACATGTCGGACAGTTCGGTAGAAGTTGGAGACGGAATCGACCGAAAGGCTGGGCTGTGGCGTGAGGTGATTACGTGTGTGATGGTGATGCATGCAGGCATATCACCAGAAGCATCAGACAAGGCTCTGATGGTTCACCCGGTATACCGGCTGCGCAGTGCGCATATTTGAGAGCTTGAGTGTCACGGCAACGTAACGCCTTCCAGCCTGCAGTCCGACGACAAGTTTGTACGAGGAAAGGCCATCTTGGAGGTGGGCAGGGATGGCAGGGCTTGTTGCGCTCGCGAACATGTTGTTGGGTGCTCTTGGCAGATTAAGTGCTTTGTTTAGGGTCAGTTTTGCAGGGTGATCGTGCCGTGGCTGTCACATACAAATCATAACAGCCATCTCTAAACTAGGCCCTGGCCTGCTGATGATCTGTTCCATATCACACGAAGCAGTTGCCCAGTTGCCCTACGTTGCCCTGTTCAGTTTTATTGACGGGAGACAGGACTACGTAGAGACACGAGACAACGCATGTGAAAGCTTCGATGTCTTCGATGAGTTAGACCATGGAAGCGTGCTAGATGGTCATGTTTAGCAGCTGTTGTAAGTTGCTGCGGGCAGATATGCCAAAAATCTTCCGGAAATCAACAACAGCCGTTTGGTCTCTGAATGATTCTTCACGAGTCACTCTAGATGAATCCATTCCTGAATTGTTTGCTCATCCTTATCAATTGTCCTCTGGACTGGCGGAACCTGTCGACGTTGGATGTCCATTTACCGGTTTCACTTATGTCCATTTCGTGCCAGGAGCTTCGCGCGAAAGCCCTGGAAGACATGGCTTGGCGCCAGGTTCTCATTGTTCTCAGTCGCGCTTCTGGAGTCTGCTGTGAATGCACAAAACCTGCAATTTGCAGTGCGGATTGATGTTGTGCAAGCTTTTGGTAAGCTGTGGTCTTTTGGATGCTTCTACGTCCACACCCACACCCACACCCGCACCATCCCACCCCCTCCCCCACCCAACCCATGCACGCACCCCACGCGCCCCCCGCATTTCATGCACCCCATGCACTCACCGTCACACACCTCACGCACCCCATGCAGGCACCCCACACACCCAATGCACGTGCACACCGAACGCACCACTCACACCCCACGCACCCCACGCACCCCACGCACCCCACGCACCCCACGCACCCCACGCACCCCACGCACCCCACGCACCCACGCACCCACGCACCCCACCACCCCACGCACCCCACGCACCCCCACGCACCCACCACGCACCCCACGCACCCCACACACCCCACGCACCCCACGCACCCGACGCACCCCACGCACCCCACGCACCCCACGCACCCCACGCACCCCACGCACCCCACGAGTTTTGGACAAAACGCAGACTTACTATGGCTTTCCTTTTGGATTGCAAGTGGTCGAGCTTTCAATGCCAAGGTGTGGAAAGGTGGGTGTCTTGCTTTACCTCGCCTAACCGTTTTGGATGGCACGATAGGGCGAGGGATGGCTGGATTTTGAATGTTCAGACGGGTTCTTCAGGTACCGCGACCCTCGCATTTTCGTTCGAAGGACACCCAAGTTCCAATTAAAAGCACTTGGGCACTATCAGAGAAACCTATCAAATATCATCCGTGTGCTCCTGGAAGAGCCGAGTGAGCCCAGGCGAGGCACCTGGCTGGGAAGCTGACTTAGCGATGCAGTTCAAGGCTGCACATGCTAGGATAACAGTCAGTGCTGGTGTATTCCCAGATTTGGGCTGGAGGTGTCCGATGACAGCTTGCAAGATTTCACCGTGAAAGAGGCAACAGAGCGTCAAATCTGCAAGTGATCGGGCATTTTTCATGATTCGGAAAACTCCGATCTTTTTCGCTAGCATCAATGAGCTGCGCTTTGTGTTGATTTGAGGATGGGTGACGTATGGGGCGCTTCCCAACTCCTGAGCCAACAGGATGCTGAGGAGTTCGATGGACGTAATGCTGAGAGTGGCGATGCCAACCCGTTCTTGGGCCTCAGCTTCATGCCGTTTGACTGATCTAGAGTTAGCATAGAAACTGTTGAGTCGGACTAGAACCTACCACATTTCGAAGCCATTGTTCATTGTAGCGAAAAAAGTAAGAAAGTAAGCAAGCAAGCAAGCAAGTCAGCAAGCAAGCAAGCAAGGAAGTAATTAAGTAAGTAAGGAAGTAAATAAGTAAGGAAGTAAGTAAGTAAGTCAGTAAGAAAGTAAGTAAGTGTGCCTGTCGGGCCTATGTGCCTGTGTGTCTGTGTGTCTGTGTGTCTGCGTGTCTGGGTGTCTGTGTGTTTGTGTGTCTGGCTGTCTGTGTGTCTGTGTGTCTGCGTGTCTGCGTGTCTGCGCGTCTGCGTGTCTGTGTGTCTGTGTGTGAAATAGGCCTGGTGTGCTGATGCTTTGCTGATGTTTGCTATCGATGTCGTTGAGGCGGGTCTATTCCGCATTGTCTCCGGATGCTCCGCTCACGGCGGTTGCCACCAGCAAGGATGGGGTAATTGGAATGGCGCAGGTCAAGAAAGACGGCTATGCTCACTCGATGCACTAGCTGAGACCGCACTGGGCACAGCGTCGCTCGTACAGCTTAGGTCCAAAACTTGGTGGTAAGACCAGAAACCCGACGAAAGGGTGTGGCTGCTCAGATCGTCTGTTGGTGTGCTGCAAAGTCCCGACGGCGCGGAGCCCGACAGCTTTGGATGCATGTGCCTTTGACCTGGACAGTGGGCTCGGTTGGCTCGGTTGGCAACCCCCAAGGCGTCCAAACAACCGCCCTCTTAGACTATGGCTTCTGCTCTCCGGTGCTCGTCACATGCGCTCAAGTTCTCAAGATTCTCAAGCTCATCAATTTGTCCAAAGGTGGAGTCCGGCAATGAGGCCGCGCTGAACTTTTACAAGCGTCTGGGCTTTGAGGCGGATTGTTGAGTCCTGCTTCCGTGCGACTTCTGCACAGAATGCACAAGGATTTACATAGTCAGCAGACAACAAAGCGGCACGCAGTCGACCCCAGGATTCTGAGAGGATACTTCAAGTTAGTTGCTTTAGGCGACCAACTGAATCGGGAGTGGTTTGGGACAGGACCCCCCAACGAGAATATATGAGAATATGACGAACACGACATCAGGCTGCAACGCAGACTGCTGAACACTGCAATGTGTCATCAAGGCCCCTAAAATGCTGTAACCTGATGGCGGCCTCGGAGCTGGGGATAGGCAGCTACCCTTAAAATGGTAGATGAGCCTCGGGCCCAGAGGCTAGGCCCGGCATGCGCGGCTACTATGGGAAGGTGGTCTGCGAAGAAGTTCATCGCGATCGGCTTGCAGTACGTCTGAGCAAAGAGCTGTGACGAGACCATTGCAAACATCGCGTTGAAAAGGCTCTTCTAGGTCCTCGGATGTCATCGGCATGCAGCGCTGCAGGTAGGGATTCCTTAAGCAGGAGTTGTTCAAGAATAGCAATGTCTTGGAGTTCGGGCCGAACCTGCAAGTTGGCCAGCTGTCAGCTAGACGCTGCAAATACTTGCATTGACGTGCCTGAGAGCGTGTCACATGTGCCAACACCTTCGGACCCCCTCCCTCCTACCCTTGTGAACCTGTGGGTGTATGGGGTTTAGCCACATCGCAGCCCCAGTACAGCTATTATTATCTGCCAGTACGATGGTGAATGGGGTTGCGCAGGTAACGGGCGGTTCCCTGACAGGTGGGCGTGGTGTCACAGGCGCTCACTCGTGTGCAGCTTGTTGTGTTGCGAGCGGCGCGTGGTTGCACCAGCCTGTTACAAGGATAAGGATCATTGATGAACCACTGCAGCAAGCAGAGCTTTTGAGCAAAGTGATGAAGCCAGCAGAATTTTCCAGGAAGAGCATGCGGGATTGATTGAGCGATAAGCCTGTCGAACTTTCACCTTCCAAAACTTTCAGATGCCAGCATGGTGCATAAAAGATGGGGCAAGGCCTTTCCAGCCTTGACATTGCCGGGTTGCTGCCTACAACAATCAACACAACCTGGCAGTTTATAAGTCGAGTGGCTTTCTTTGAGTGAGCCTAGCACTACTTGTACGTCAGCTAGAGTGTCCAGAGTCTGCAGATGAACGCAAAGAAGAGACAAGAGCAGTTGCAGTGCTGGACAAATACGGATCTCCATGCCGAAGCCATGGATGAGACCAAGGCGAGATCTATTGTGTGTGCCTTCTTGCGAAGCAGTCTGTTGTGTTTGGGCCAGCAACACGGAGAGGAGAGCCCCGGCATTCCAGCTAGCCACTATACTGTTCAGATTCGCAATTGGAAAACTCCCGAAGCTGCAGCAAATTTACCTGTCAAAGTAATGAACTTAGCAATGAACGTAGCACGGTAGTGTATGGCATGACTCCGCATTGACAGTCTCCGTCACAGTGAAGGTTTCACGATCCAGACTTCCAGTTGAAAGTTGGACTGCGGCAAGTGGGGGGGAGCAAGGGGCAAAGTGGCCAAGTTGGCGCCAACTCAGTTCTGTGCTATCGTGCACCACACAAGGGATACGATATGATCGATAGTTAATCTTTCAAGAGGCTTTGGTCTCCGCCTCTCTGGGCTCACCGCTGGCAGCCCGACCTGAGGCTGGAGGACAAGGGGCAGTGTCTTGCCATATCTTGCCAAGTCCTGGCTTCTTGCAGTGACGTCGGATGACGTGGGCCACTTTTGCAGCAGACCGCCCTCAACATCCCTCAAAATCTTCCAGGATGTTCCGCCCCGAAGTCCAAGTCATGGTTGCGAATCAAAGGCATATGCCTCAGTTTCCTATCAGATCTTTTCAGGTATTTGATGGTCCGTGATGTTCGATGTGTGCTCTGCATTGCGCTACGCTGCATTGTTTCTTCTCAGGCGCCATGCGGACAGCCTGCGCCAGGGACCGGCAGGTTCGCACCAGACTGAAGTAGGTCAGTTTCAAGGCTAGGCAAATTAGGCAAAGTTAATAACCAGTGAACGAGCTTAATTAGGGAGTCTTGTTTTGCCGACAATTCGGCAGAGCACTAGTTGAGCACGCTAAAAGACTCCAAGACGACCCCCCAAGAAAGCACTCCGACAGCATTCCGCATGGGCCAGCAGCGGTTCACTTTGCGAGGAGCCCCCAAAAAGGAGGAAGCGATCCCGGCGCGGAGAGGGGGGGGGTGGGGCGGTGAGCGAGATCAGGGCCGTGATGCGGGTTGACTGGGGCATTACACCGTATAGTTGAAGACGGCGGTGTTGCCGGGGTGTTGCGCTGGTGTCGCGCCGGCGCCGTGCTGGATTGATATGGTATGTAAAGTCACGGAGACAAGGGTGCGAGATCCAGGGCGTGCGTGTGCACGACGGTGGCGCGATGGGGGCGGCCAACTCCTGCCCGAACGAAATGGTCGAAAAGCTGCTCCACGGCCGATGCCCTGTGGCCTCCAATCTGGGGGAACATCGCATTGGCGGCCAGGCCGGGATCGCATGGACGCCAACATTGAAGTACCACCAATGCCCAAGTAGCACCGACCCAACAGACGCACAAATATAGAAGCATGTCTGCTTACACTTGTCGACTTGCCTAATATCCAAGAAACATGCCTTCTTAGGTAACAACCTCATGTGGTGCGGTTGGAGATTTTGCTTTCGCGCTGAGACAGTGGAAATGCACGTCTCCAAGCTTCACAAGCTTCGGCAAGATCTCCAACACATGTGCGACGGCAAACCCTCGCGAACAATTTGAGAACTGCCTTTTACCTCAATGCCGCATGGGCGGACGGTGGAGCAAAACTTCCCGGCCTGTCGAGTACTACCTCAGTGCTCGACCGCCTGGCTTTTACTCCGCCTCGATCGAAGCAACGCGTGAGAAAGTCTCTAGAGGTAAGGTCAGACGGGAGCTGCTGTAGATATGTAAGCGTCCTTTTGCATCACACAATTAATTGACCCAGCAACTCACAGGACGTGCAGATGGTTTCGAGAAACGGCCCGGCACGATTCGCGTGGCCTGAGGCCGAAAAACAGGGTTGTCCATTAATCAAGGATTCCTTTGGTCGTGCCGACACATGCCAAAGCCAAGACCAAGGGTAGTCATGAATAGTCTTGTACATTGTAAAGCCTGTGCGGAGTATGATAAATCATTGTGAGTAGGATGAGTAGGCTTGCCGTGTTAGAATGCAACAGTCAGGGCGAAACTAACCATGTCGTTTCGCGAATTGAACCAGCTTGCGACCTGCAGTCTCCATCATCGTCCAGAGGGGCGTCTGCGAACACCGATGCGGAGTTGCTGAGACCTTACATAGTAACACGGGATTCTGTACGTGCTGGTGCCAATAAGTGTTCACCTCCTTGTTGTTTTAGGTGGCGACATATGCCACCAGGCAAAGTCGTTCTGTGCTTAGCAAGCTGGTCAGTTGTTTGTTCCGTGCCCGTTGCATGGTCCACAACTCTCTGCATCGTGGCTCTTGAGCTTGATCAGAACAAAACATCGCACGGGGCTCTGCATGGTATGCTGACTCTGATCGTGATTAGATTCCTTCCCCTTGACGAATCTGCCCACAGTCTTCGGGACACGATGGCCTCAAACCCCGCTCTCCGGATGTTTTTGTGCTCCTTGCTGGTGCCATAGCATGTGCTCATCAGCTGAGATCCTTGTTGACAAGGCGGCGATACATGTTTCTAGGCTTTTCCGAGTTTTTTGAACACGAGTAGTGTCTGCAAGCCCAATTGGTACTTGCTCCGTTTGGCAGGGCTTCCATATCGCCCGGCTGCACGGTGCAGTCTTTTTGGATGCCTTTTCGCTCAGTACCTTGTTGGCTGCGTCAACCGAAGCCCACCGGGAAATTACGAAAGTTGTGGAGAGTACTGCGAGTGGCGCTAAGCAGCAGAAGTTGGTTCACAACACCTGCAACAGTTCCATTCAAACCGCTCCTCAGGAGCTTGCGGCAGCCACCACAGGCATATTTCGATCAGCATTGATCCAGCTCGTCGACAAGCGGGATCCGGGCTTGGATAAGGCCTTCTTGCCAGAAGTCACAGCCAGTCTAAAATCCAGAATGATATTTGGTTGAAGATGGGGCTTAGTATGGCCTACGAACGCCAAGACTGCTTAACACCAGGAAAGATGAGTGATACAGCCATATACTGCCTGGAAAGGCAATCAGCGCCCTTGGCGCCCTTGCCTGTGCTCGGGGTGATGCACCAGCGATGCGTACCGTGGCCGCAGCCCTGGCTGCACCACCCTACGATGCACGCCTTGCCAGGCCACAAAGGGCATCCAAGGGCATCCAAGGGCATCCAAGAGCTTTGCGTTGTTCGCAGCATTATGATAACGCTTCATGGTCTTGCAGGTGCATCAGCCGGGCATTGCTCAAAATGGCGGGCAAGGGAAATGCTGCTGTCATAGAGGTGCCGTGCCAAAATGCCAAGGTTCAATCCGGTTGTGGCTGCAGCTGAACTGCCAGGCTGTGAGCAACAGCCTGCAACATGAGTCCAACCTGGTTCGCGAGCACGCTGTCGTCACCCTGAAGGACTTGTCCAGGCAGTTAATTGGGGTGCTAACCGCCAGCTCAGATTAAAATCATTAAGGGCAGCAGCTATAATCTGTAGGCTAAACTCACCATGACTTACAATCTGCTGCTGCAGTGACGTAACCAATCGCAGGCAGCCAGCATTCTTGCCCAGTAGGACAATGTCAAGTCAGTTCGCATGCCGGCCTGCGAGGTCGCGATAGGAAAGTTGTATGTTGCCGTGCCCTGCCAGTTGCGGAGATGCAGCAGTGGTTCGCAAACTGGTAGCGGCTTTGGCGGACGAAGGGCTGAGAGTTCGTATGGCTGCCGCGGATGCTTTGTCCAAGGTTGCTTCTCGGCTCAAGTTGACATGGCAACCAAGCACGTGAAACCTAACCTTTCCATTCTTTCCGTAGTTTGTGTTAAGACTTCGGCAGCAAAGCTATGGTCTTGGGTGTGTGGTCTTGGCATGCTAGTGTCGCACATAGCATCGCTGCAAAAAGGCATCTTGTTGCAGAGTATTGTGGCGTCCTTGCTCCTGCTACTGTGTGTTGCCAAGGCACGGAGAGGTGATCCCATCTGGATAGCGCTTGTTGTGGAGCACTTGGGCCACCAGTCACTCGATGTCCGCGAGGCCACAGCATCTTCGGAGGTCTCGACGTTCCCTGCCCTGTGGAAGTTGCGAGTTCAACTCAGTTGTTCGATTGGGTCTTCCGAGCCTCCTCCAAGAGAGAATCCCACGGAGTATCCCTGGAGTGCCAAATCTCACTTCTGGAGTGCCGGCCCGGTTCAAGCTACTGTGTTAGGGCGACTATAGGTGTACTCGGCAATGCCTCTTTGAAGGGGAGCCGTGGCGTGCCACGTCCCAGATGATCCCTACAGTGCCCATCAATTTGTTTAGCATTAGGGTGGGTGGGGATGCCAGAAGCTGTTGTTGAGTCTCTATTGTCAGACATGTTGAAACATTCTGAAAGACGTTTTTTGATTCTTCGCCGCTGCTTCGAAAGGCAGCACTGATTGCGCTGCATCAACTCGCAGCTCCAGGCAGCAATGCCATCGATTCCGTGTGCAATTCTTTCTGTGATTCCTCTGTGTTTTTTGCATTCGAAGTTCGCACGTTCGCACAGGCTGTGCGGATGTGATTGCGTCGATTTCCTTGCGGATGGAGGATGCTGACATTGGAGGCCGGAAGGCGCTCCTTTCGGCGCTGCAGCAGTTCCTCAACAGCAAAGAAAGTGCCCGAAAGCCGTGCCATCACCAGCACTGCAACAGCGTGCCGGAACGATCTTTCGGTTTGCCTTTCATGCGTCGTTAAAGTGTGGTTGCATCGAGTTGCATGCACCAAGGTTCGCTCTGCCAGGCGCGCGGCAAAGGGCTTCAAGGAGCTGATGCTCAGAGCGGGCATCAAAACGCCAGCCATTGTGTAGATGCAATTTTTACACTTTTTGCTATGCAACCAGGCAACCAGCCCGCCATTCTCGAGGCTGCAAGGTGCTCTAGCCGTTGCTGCCGGGTTTGTCAGTTTGTCAGTGCGCAGTATGCAGCGTTTTTCTGCTTTCGTTTTCGGAGAGGTGTGTGGCTGACTCCAGCATAGAAGTCCGCAAGATGGCATTGCGAGTGCCGCTTGGGCATGATCATTTTACGCGAGGGAGTTGTTTCTTGTACCACGTTGTGGCTCCAGTACAGGCGGGCCTAACTTGAAGAGGGCAGAGTTTCGGGCACTACCCAGCGCGCGTAAGCTGCAGAAGTTTGAGTGGCAGCCTCATGTGGGTGACCGCCTGGGACTTCATCATGGCATCGTTTTGGGGACAATCCAATCCCACGAATGATTTAGGGCTTGGAAAGCTTTAGTTTTGGTGATGCTTGTTGTGGTGTGTTTGAGTCAAGGCTTGGAACCCTGGCGGAGGATTTGCCGCAAACAGCGGAGGGCCGAGTGATAGCGAGCCTCGAGGCTGGGTGCTGGAACTGCGAACGTGCAATGCGCGCAGATGGGTTGGCCAGTTCTATGCATCGGCACATTATATATATATACACACAATACTACATATATATATATATATAATATACACATTCTGCTGCTCAGACCTCCAAGTCTAAGCTTCGGAGGACTCCCATGCCTCCGTGCGCAAGACGGCGGTCACTGCTCTGGAAAAGCTGGCCAGGAAGAGTTCCGGGCTTCGACGCCCCACGGACAGCATTGGTCTTGGCCAGTAGAGCTGCAGCGCGTGGTCTGGTTGTAAGTGAAGCTGTCGGATACTCTCAACTATGAGGAGGAGGGTACGTGACAGCATTCATCGAAGTTGTCATTGTAAGCCATGCTCTTTTGCTCGACTTCCTCATTGCTCTCTTTTTTTGCCGTTTCATTTTAAAGCCCTTTTTTTGATTTGTGGGAGGCCTCTTGCTGGACCGGCTTGACGACCCTGCACCGTGCGTGCAGTGTGCAGCAATCTTGGCAGCAGGCCGACTTTGTGATCTCGACGACGAGGCCTGGGACTGTTCAGCAAGTTTCAGCACCTCAACGATTCAGCTTTCGCTGACGTGCAGGTCACAGCCACCAAGCTAGCATCGTGCCTGGAATCATCCGAGAAGATGTGTGAGGCCGCCGGTTGCCAATGTTGCCATCCTGCTCTGCGCTTTGCTCTTTTGCCATCTGCTGACCTGCAAACATCTGTAGACTTTGTGATCTCCGTCCAGGTCGCTGCCCAGCAAGCACTCGGCTGGCTCCTGCAGCGTGGCTCGCGCGCGCCGCTGCCAAAGCTGGCACAGTTGCTTTGGCACGGCAACGAGAAGGCGAGAGCATCCTCTGCGCGCATCCGTTGAGCACCCTGAGCTTGCCGTTGCCTTCGTTTTTTGCCTTCGCTTTCCAGTTTTTGAGAGCAGGTCCGAGAATCCGCGAACCTGGTGCTTGCACGGCTTCCTTGCCAGTGGCAGTGGTTAAGGTCGCTCCTGCTGCCTACTGAGGGAACCTTAAGGAACTTTGCGCAACGAGTGTCAAGCTGCAGATGGAAAAGGGGTCGAAAAGTGGTCGAAATGATTCGAAGTGGTGTCTTTGAAGCCAACTTTCGCAGGGAAAAGTGGAGCCCGGCAACACCTCCAAGTCGACCGCTCCGGTTTGCGCAGAAGGTGCGGAGAATAGGTAGAGTCGTATGAGTAGCACGACTCGAGTTGGGCGCCTCAGGCCCTCTGAGATGGCCGTGCACGTGAATTCGTGACCCTTTAGCTGGCTTGGTGCAAGTTATAGTCTGCCATCCATGCGTCACGCACCGTGTACAGCATGCACTTGACATGCGGAGGAGAGAGGCTCTTGCTTTTCCTGGTTTTAGATGGTTTTAGACGCACTGTTTGGAGGAGCCTATCTCTAAGACCGCAGTTGGAGCTTCCATGCAGGAGCCCAACAGTGGCTTCAAGACGTCTTTACCTGGAAGATCCTGGAAGCATCAAAAGGGTGGTTACTGTGGAATTCCTTGGCTATCAACGGCTCATACCCGTGCATACCATGTCACTTTGCATGAAGTACTGGTAGTTGCTTGCATGTTCTCTTCTTTCACAAATCTCGACAACTCCAGTTCCCCGAGGCATGGAAAGCCGAGACTCCGAGCACGTGGCAGGCCTATCGGGGATAGGGATCAACAAAACTCAAAGAGGATCAAAAATAAATCAATAGGGATGCACAAGAAATGAAATCCCGGCTAGAAGGAAGACAGGAAGGAAGGAAATAATGAAGCAAAGGGCCTTGCGGTTCGAAGGGCTTCAAACACGGAAAAAACTCGAGCATCTTTTGATATCTTTTGCCTCTTTCTTTGCAGACTGTAAAAAATCACAACCGTGCTGCTTATTCACAGCTAGATACTGTAAATGCTGTAGCCCGTCCGTCTATGTCCGTCTATGTCCGCTCACGCCAGCTCTGTGCTCTCCCTGGGCTCTCCCGGGCCATCGGGCCCCACAGAAGTGCCACCGAAGTCCTCAGCCCTTGCCCAGCCCGCCATTGAGCGCCCTTAAACACGTGCTTGGCCTGGTACAGCTACACATGTGCTTGGGCTGGTGCAGGCCTCCTCGTTCTGCCAATCTGCCACGTCCTATGTTCCTGAAATTTCCTGAAGGTCTGAAGGCTCTGTTCTTAAGTGGCCTCTCGCTTCAGCAGCCGGCGTCCGCTTGCGTCGGTCAAGCTCTGCAGCCTGTAGTTTAGCTACTTATGCTACGTAGTCGTCTTAAAAGCCCCTTTGGCCTGTCAACAAGAAGTGCTGGCTTGGCCACATGTTTAAGGCAGAAGACCTTGTGACCAGCGGAGTTGGTTTTGTTCTTGGAGTATAAACAGTCCCATTATGACAAAGCCAGCCAGCCAGGTTCTGATTCGAATGAGCTTGGCATTGTTTCTGCGTCCCTTGTTTGTGGCCCCTTTTGAAAAAGTAGTGGAACAACAATCACCTGCATGATTTTGACGCTACGCGACCCCGCCTCGGCCGCAGCCTGCCGAGCAGCGCGGCGCCCATACCCAGGTCTTCATTCAACACACGCCATCATGGTCCCACCGCTCTTCTACGCAGGCTCATGTACCCCCCCCCCAACCCGCAACCTCAAACCCCAAATCCTAGCTCGCACACGCACACACACAAACACACAAACACACGTGTACAAAACACGTTACAGACCCTTGAGCCCCCCAACACCCCTGAATTTGTTCATGCTTTGTTGTTTTCCCGAGGAGTGAGGGGGCGGGGGTTGTTCCGTTGGATTGAACAGCAGAAGCTTTCATTTCCCTACATTCGAAGAGGATAAAAGTTAGGGCCCCTAACTTAGGGGGGGACCCTCCATTTGCAATAGGAAGGATAGGAAACAATTTTCTTTGCGCTTCCAAAGAACTCGGTTCCTCCAACCTGACTGAACAACCTCGGGTTCGTCTATATGTTGATAGGGAAACCACGGCTAGTTACCATCTGCGTTATGTTTTACTATGAAAACCCTCTGTATGTTCGTGGTGCTATGTTTATCATTTTTCTATGAAGAATCTCTTGTTTACTAGGCTAACTTGTATTGTCACAGGAAAAATCCTGTACTTCCTGCTCCACATGGTCGTAGTTTTACGCTGACTGGTTGGGCGCGCCCGTTCGCCCACATCTGCAAGCAGAATAGGGTGACCGTGTTTAGAAAGCAGGAGGAGAGGGCTGCCCCCCTCCCCCCCCTGGCCAGTGGACCAACATGCCCTTTGACCAAACCCCGATGACTCATGCAAGCCGGGGGACGGGTGGGTGGGGTGGGTGGGTGGGGGTGGGGCGAGGGCGTGGCAAATGTCAGCGGGGGTACCCATGCCAGGCAAAAAAGTGCTGAATAAAGGGGTGCAAGGCCTCGGCGGATTGTCACCATCATTGCATTGCGACGGGCGTCAGGCGATTGCTGCTCGAGCCCAGGCGGAAGGTGGGGACATCCGGGCATCCCACGGTCTTGCGAGAGAATTGAAGCTGAAAAGTGAAACTGAAGCGGTGCTGTCATTGCTGTCATTTTGTGCTGTTTCCTTCATCTTCCTTGCGTTTCTTCATGTTTCTGCTCGATTCCCTTGGGCTTCTCTCTGTACACCCTGTTGTCTTCTACTTGCTGCAAGGCCGTGCGCAGGCTGCTGCTGAGATTGTGGGGAGCTTGGCTGGAAGTCCCAAGTGTTGGCTACTGCTGCAGACTGCAGTCTCTGTATGGGTCCTTGCGAGCATCGCCTCCCGTGGTCCCCGCCTACTGAGGCCCTGCTGCGCATGAACGCTGGATTGCGGTCGCCTCCAAAGCGCCAGGACATTGGCATAGGACACAATTAGACATGAAAGGTGTCTGGATGTGTCCTGTCTGGTGTGGTGCGTTTTTCCGTCGGCGTGCAGGTTGCAGGCAGTCCAAGGTGCCTTCGTAATGCATCTCAACTGAAAAGAGCAGGAGCCAAGCATGAGCCATGCGACTCCTTCGGCAACCCCAAGCTTGGACGTGATTGGCCTGAGCTCCATTTCGACTTCAGCAGGCTCTCGGCTTGGCGTTAAATACAACGAGAACGCAATTTGAGAGTGGCAGGCTCGGCACCGTCTTCGCCTCTCAGGCGTTCCAGGAGGGAAAGTGGGCAGGTCTCAGGTTCATGGCTCGCGTTTCTTCCGTGTCACCATTGTGATACCCTATGATACCCTTTTTACATTTTTTTCCTCTCAGGAGTCCAGAGAGAGCCTCGAGCCCGCTGACCAAGCCCTGGTCTGGAAGCGGGCAGGTGAGACAGCGGTGCTTTGTTGGGGCTCGTGAACTTTCGTACAGATTTGGCTCATGTTGGCGCTGGAGTCATGCCGCTTGCATGGAGGAGTCCAATTCTTGCTCTCCTCCCAGAGCGGTACCGAAACCATCTCAAGATGCTGAGATTGTAAGGCCAGATTTTTGTTTGTGGAAATGCTGTGCCTTGAACAAAGAAGTTCGAATAGTTCGCGTTGTGCAACAGTTCAACACCATGGATCCGTTGCGGTCGTTTGCACGTCGGTTCCAGGCAAAGGACTGACTGGTCGCCTTGCAAGTGGCCACCCTCTGCACGCAGCTTGGCAAGGTTATGACGGTTATGAAGGCACCACTGCGAAACGAGAACAGGCCCGTGCAGGCCTCACATGCGCCAGCAAGTTTGAGCATTTTTCATAGGGTTTCAGATGAGCATCTTTTAGCCTTAGCCAGAGGCTGGCCAGCTGCGCAGCTGCCCCACAATGTGAACGTTTGGCCGGTTGCTGGAGATGAGAAGCCCCGAGGAATCAGAAGCAGCCCTGTTTGGGATCGTGAAATTTTACATCTCGTTGTGTTCAGCATGGCTTGTGTTCGCAACATTCGCAACATTCGCAACATTCGCAACATTCGCAACATTCGCAACATTCGCAACATTCGCAACATTCGCAACATTCGCAACATTCGCAACCATCTGCCCTGTTAGGACTGGATACCTGGACTCACCTCCTCTTCAGCACAGGCTTGCGCTGCTCGCCGTCCGAATCACCATACAAGTGCTCCAGATGCTTAAGCGTGAACACGGCAGACTCCTCGTTTTGCCGCAAGTGCGGGGCACGACGGAAAGATGAATGGCACATAGAGAATCGTTCCATCTCGGCGAGAGATCGCGCGGCTGCTCAAACTGCTGAAGCTGGTGATCGGACAGCATTCCACGGTGGTTGCAGAGGTGAGCGTGTCGGTGCTAGGGCTGCCAGGCCAGTGTACCCCAAACAGAAGCCATCGGATCCAAGGGTTCGTGTCTCGCAACGAAGCATCTCACGAAGTTTCTCTCCACAAACCGCACGTGACTTTTCACGTGTATCTGCGCGCGGCCATCGCTCCCCGCCACCTGCGACTGGACACGGCGTGAGAAGCACGTCTATGCATCACACCGTCCAGAATGCGCAAGATTCGAGACCACAGAGACCACAGAGACCACAGAGACCACAGAGACCACAGAGACCACAGAGTGCGCGAAGCACAAGGCACACCGAGAGGAGGCAACTGAATGATGTGAAATCAGGAATTTCATGCCAGGGCTGCCAGGGCCATGTCCAGCCTCGAACAAGAACCAAGCGATCGGCGTCGGAGCCATCACTGAATCGGAGTGCAGCCCCGAGCTGTGCTCGCGCGGTTCGCCGCATTCCCCAAGACCCGAAGGGGTCGCGCTCGGTGTCGTGCTCGATGTCACCACGGGCAGTGGCCCGTCCAAAGCTGACCCCTGCCGATCTGGTGCGACTTCAGAGAGAGCTGCAGGCTCAAATGGAAACTCGGCTTTTTTTGGCTCCTTGCGTTACATTGCTTGATTTCTGACTACACTGAAGCGTTCCTGCAGGCCACAAGTCCTAAGTTTTCGAAGTAACAGCATTCAAAATCAGGTGCGTGAGCAGCATTGAGCAGCAGGGAGCACGTCACAGCATGTCACCATGTCACAGTCACAGAAATTTGTTATGGACATGTTCAGGAAATGGTGAGCAAAGCCCTGTCCAGCGGGCCGCGTACTCGCCGCAGTCCGCCCAAGCTAACTGGACGCCAGCTGAAGGAACGGAGAGCAGAGACACCCCACTTCCGCTTCTCGTGAAGCAGTGCCAGAGTGATGTGTGCAAATGCCAGGTAGGTTTTCATTCTGGCTGAGAGAGACGTTTGCTGGGAATGTCACAGCAGGACGATTGATGGTACGGTAAAGGCAAGACATTTCACGTAGTC